GCTGCTTTAAAGACATGGCAAAAGTTAGCAGCTGTTATTGCAACAACCTATTAACATAACTTAACAGTGAACATCTTTCATGGTGTGGGATGGTGAAAAATACATTTATTTTTTATTTTATTTTATTTTTTTTAAAGGCAGATGGCGTGAACTTTCAGCCCACATAAATTCATCACTTTGTTGTTTGTACTTCAAGGAAAATCAGTCGATCTGAGTCGGTGCAGACGTTACCTTTGAGGATGAGAGCCATTCTGCTGGACGTTTGGATTGTACTGACTAGACCCTGCAGGCAGAGGCATGCTAGCAGCTGGGGCAACTGATGATTTCATCATACCTTCAGTGAGTAACAGACATTATAATATCAGGAGCTGATATAGCTTCAAAATGAACCATTACTCTTACTCTGAAAGACATGCACATCAAGATAAACAAAAAAAAAAAAAGTTATATTTAATACACTTAAATGCATTTTACCTGCAGGTGGAGCACTGAATGCCTGAGGTGGGCCCCCATAATGCCCGTAGAGGGGCTGCGTAGGACCAGATCCGAATCCACCTTGATATGCCCCCATCCCTGGCTGGGCCTGGGAGTACGGGGGTGCAGCGACATAACCCTGTTGACTCATGATGCTGGGATGTCTCTCACAGTCTTCTCATGCCAAGATGAAAGAGTATGACCTAGGGCAGTGAAACTGGGATACTTAGATTATAAAAAGTAAACAAGGACTTCAGTTTTATATATAGCGATTTTAATTTGTTTGTTTGTTTTTGTCTGAAAAAAAAAGTTTAATATGAAAATAAAGCTGCTTTTGGCTGCCAAAGTGGAGAGCTTGGCAAGTCTCATTTTTACGCTGGATGCCTCTCCTGACAAAATACTAAATGGCCTGTATGTGTATAGCGCTTTACTAGTCCCTAAGGACCCCAAAGTGCTTTGCACATCCAGTCATCCACCCATTCACACACTGGTGGCAAGCTACATTGTAGCCACCCTGGGGCGCACTGACAGAGGCGAGGCTGCCAGACACTGGCGCCACCAGTAGGCAACAGGTGAAGTGTCTTGCCCAAGGACACAATGACTGAGACTGTCCAAGCCGGGGCTCGAACCGGCAACCTTCTGATTACAAGGCAAACTCCCAACTTGAGCCACGATTGCCCCTCAAAGGCAGTCGCATCTCCTCCTGGAATCAAACCAGGAAGCTTTTGCTTGTTAGGTGAACGTTTATGTAAAAACCTGCTAAAAATCCTAGATGTTTGTATCCAGAACACAAGCATATAATGAAGCTTGTGTCTGCCAGGTGGCAAGGTTGGACAAGTTAAATCAAAACTTTTTAGGTCTGGTTCTTCATTGCGACACATACATAATTACATGTGACTTGTAATCATACATTCATAAAATTAACAACCGTTTGCACAAACATTTGGTGGATCTTTACGCTCCTCATTCAAAACCAAATCATATCTTCAGTGTTTACAAACCACACCAATGACTACTGATATTTGACCTCATGCAATGATTAGCACACAGTAAGATGAACCTTTGACTGCTTTATCTCGCAATAAACAATGCCAATCTGTTGGTGTATCATCAGTAATTAACAACACCAGCAGCTCATTTCTGTTTTTGCTCCAGTGTTTACCAAAGTGTTTACATTGTTTTTCTGCCAACATTAATAAACCTTTAACCAAAATGCCTAGTTTTACTTGCTTTAAACTTGCTCTTAAAAAACAAATTAAAATAAAATAAAAATAACGCCTTATAAACAAAACGTGGCCTGTAAAGTTTTTAAAAGGAAATGGGAACAGCTGGGCCAACGCGCAACAGCTGCCTATGACATCTCCATGATTACTTTTATAACTTTAAAGTGACAATTTTAAGCACGTTTCACCCAAATAAAACCTTTTAAAAATGCAATATGAGTGGTAATTGAGCGGTGCAATAGTTAATGCGTGTGACATTTTCGAGAGCTGCCACGTCGAATACCGTTATGATGGCTTTTATAAAAAAAAAAGGGGGGGGGAAGCATTGCTGCCTTCCTTTAATTCACATCCAGCTGGAAACGTTGGCCCGTTTGCTGCTACTACACAATTTTGTCAGTAACACGTAGCTTGTTGTTTGACAATAAATGTAGCTTAATGCCCTTTTTTTTAAAGAAAAAAAAGGAGGAGCAGTAATGTGACAACACAGCACTCGGCTCAGTTATAATCACACAGACTGAAAACATCTTGCTAGCAACGCGGAAATTACTACAAAGTTTTCCTCTGAGACAGAAACGTAGCTATTTCTACAATAAATACATTCAAATGAAGAATTACCGGAGATAGAAATACTCACGTCTGTTGGCTGTAATCTACCTGTGTGTCGGGCAGAGTCCTCTTCACTATCTACACCTCTCAGTTGAAGCAGAGTGCCACGTCAAACTCCACCACAGCACCGGTCGCTCTGTTGGTTTGTGCGACGAAACCAGCGTTTCCAGCCACGTAGAGAACGGTGAGCTGCTTCCTGTTATGCGTTTCAAAATAAAACTCTTAACGACGAATAAACTTGCTTATCCAAAATGAACGATGCAAACGCGAGCCTGAGTGTAGAAATATCAATATTTTACGACTAACTAAAACAATAACAACCTTTTGTACCCTTATTTTTTTGTTTCAAAACGCTACTTCACGTTGTACGTTGAAGGAATTACATGCACTTCTGTTTCGAGCAGAATGGAGTGGCTAATTTGACGAGGCCCAGACGCAGTTTGCCGTGTGCGCATGCGTGGAAGAGAGGGAACCCATACACGTCAGCACCACTGGCTCCACAGGGGTTGAGTGGTGGTCCTCGAGAGTACATGCGTTGTTTCGTCACCTTAGTAACGCACATGAGCTTTCTCTCCGACAAAAAAAAATGTCCTAGTCACACTTCATTTTTATATGTAATAAAACACATGAAAATCATATCAGACACCTACTTTAAATATTCTAATTAATTCCTTAATGAAGTTATACGGCAAAGAGAATGAATGGATGCTGATATGAAGCCACAAAAGTACATTCAGTACCAGGGACGTGCAGAGAGGTTTAAAGGGGCGGGTGCTCAAAGTTAAAAAGGGGCACATTGAACCAGGCTGAATAACAACAACACACATTCATCAAGAATCTAATATGGGAAGGGCGGGGCTGTGTTGATCTGAGACTGTAGACATTAAAAAGTCCACAGGAGAGATGGTAGCTGATTAAACAAGTGTCATGAGATAATAACAAAATGCAAAGATTGGTGACAGCGCTTGGAACCATAAGGCAACAAAAACTGTGACATAAACTCGGCTCTGCCTGTGAATCACTCTTTGCTTCTCTTCTTCCTTCCTTCCCATGATTTCATATATCACTCTCCACTTGCTGTCTATCTGAGAACAAGGCACAACTTGCTATTGCAATAAACTATAATCTAATTATCCACACCTAACAACTCTTGCACTTAATCTAAATGATGACAGAAAAATGTTATAGCACTGCCTTTAGTAGCCTCATACAGCGCCTACTGTTTCCTCCTCATGTCCTTACCAGCCATGTCTGCACAATGTTATATCATGAGTAATATTTTTTTAAATCCAGCTAAATAAAACACACACATGCACACACAGTGACATTTTAGACCTTCTTCAGAATACTGTATATACTATGGGCATCATGGTGCTGATCCAGAATCCTTACATTATTATTCATTACTAGAGCTACAATAATAAAGCAATGAGGAGGGGGAAGTAATAAATATGAAATAATGTATTTATGATGATTCCATTTGTTTCACTATCCACTCTGTGCAGGGGCAAAGCTTATTACATGTTTAAACTGTAGAGATACAATCATTTTACTGCTGTAAAATCCAACTTTTGTCTTATTTAAAATATAAATCTAATATAATCTGCTTCTTAATGTATGTTTTTTAAAATACAGCTTGTGTTTTTTAATATATTATAATTATAATAATTATTATGTGGACATGCATATTAGATCGTTTTTTAGTGAAATATAATCCCTCCAGAAAGGCAGGAAATGCCCAGAAACTTACTCTAAAACTAAATATGTTCTAAATACTTTAAAACTAAATATGTTCCCTAAAACGGTGACAGAGCTACAGACCCATGACAGCCTTACACAGGTAGCCAGCAGCTATGACCAGCACTACTTGTGCAGTTAATAAAAGGACAGGTAATGTGTGTCGCGCTGTTGCACACACAGCACGCTCGTTTGTTTCAGTTCGTCAGTTGCAACAAGACAGCTTACCAACGTGTACGTAATAAGCTAATACTCCTGTACGCTGTACACCTACTTACTGGTTTTGTCGCATCAGTCTGTGTCTCTGAGTTAACTTGTGTTTCTCCTACAGCTCCGGACCGCAAAAAATGCGCGTGCTCTTTGTGAGCTCGTTCCCGGCTCGTAACCAGCGCGTTCTGCCGTCGAGGGCGATCATTGGTTAATAGTGATCATGTGACTGATGCAAGCCAGATCCTTTTATTTAGCCAAACTGTGATTAATAGTTAAATATTATTGTTGAGGGGCACAGACAGGACTCCGCACGCACACACACATAAAAAAATAAATACAATTTTTTTAAAAGTTGCCTCAACAAAAGGGCACTTTGGGCACTCATCAGGAAAGGGGCGGGTGCTCAAGCCCCTCTAGCCCCCCCCCTCTGCACGTCCCTGTTCAGTACTCATTATTTAGGTATCTGACACAAACAAAGCTGGAATTAACATTCTCGATTTAAACAAATAACCAAGAAGTATTATTATAATATAATTCATTGTCTTCGTCTTTGCTGTCTCTAAATCATAAAAGTACCCCTCACCTCACTTGCCCAAAATCTCCCTTTGAATAAGATGTTCAGGGATGTTGGTGAAGTAGTGATAGTTACACCCACCACCAGTTGCGTTTAACGCCGGCAGGCGGGTCCGTGCGCAGTGACGTTTCCAAAACGGGCTGGACTCTGAGGACAGATGATGGGGGTTATAGGCTACAGCGGTGCGGTGGATGTGGTTTTTCGTTAAGTGCTGCTGGCCCGGCTGACAGCTCCATGAGCGCGCCGTGGAAGTTTGGCTGAGGAGCTGCGCGCAGCATGGGCACCGGGGATTACATCTGCGTAACGCTGCGTGGTGGTGCGCCCTGGGGATTCACCCTGCAAGAGGGAGAAGGGGACACCTACAGACCTCTTCTAGTTTCCCAGGTATGTATGCGAGCGTGCGTGGGAGGATGTTTTAATACCACTTGAGCAGGGTCATGCCTGTCTAATCTAATGCTAGTGAGACTGCAACGATGGATAAACAGCCTAATGAAAGTTTGTGGACATGTTGTTGTTGAGATCCTGGAAAAGTTTCTGTTTCTTCAGAGTCACGACAGTTTTTTTTTAAGGTGAGAAATTCAGCAGGAAAACAGAAAAAAACAGAAAAACAGAGACTTTAAAAAGTCTGAAATTTGATGGGAGAGAGCTGTCTGCCGCTGCATTTTTGTGCGCGTTGGCTGTGTTTTGGTGAGAGATTCCTCGGCACCCTTATATGGTCAAGGCCACGACAGAGTGTGAAGCTCAGGGCAGTATGATCTGTTTTCAGTCACAAAGACTTTTTAAGCAAGAAAGCAAGTCCAGTAACCAGACTGAAGAGTGAAGGTATATGTGCATAACACCAAGGTGTTACGTTTTAGTATGAGCAAAAAACAAGTGCGGCTAAAACTAAGAGGTTATCATGCAAATATCCCTTTCAAAAAGAATTCAAATAAGAGATAGAGAGGAGGACAGGCAAATTTGAAGTTTTGCTGTAAGAACGATTCAGCTGCGTGACATTTGTTTAGCCTGATAATAAGGTAATAAACCTTAGAGGTGCGGGGTTTTATCTGCTTAGAGGTAACTGCTGATGTAGCCACTTTCTGATGAGACGCAGAGGCCATTTTTTAACATACTGTAATGTAAATGTACACAGACAGATAATATATGTTGTACTCTTTAGGTTATTTCCTATTATTTGCTCGTCCGTCCATCACACGTTCTCATTTTGCAGCCAGTGATAATGGAAACCAGTTTAAAGCTTATTATGATACTTAAATTAGTATCATAATTAATTAGTCACTTTTAACAGCTTTACATATTATGCAAGTGTGGACAGCGTTGCATACAACAACTCACTCAAAAAAAATTAATAATACAGTAAAAGCCATTGTACCAGCCAACTTAGTTTACTGCCTTCAAACGTTCAAATAAACAAGTAGATGGATGGAAAAATGAAAGTTTAAGCTTAAGTGGAGCTTTTTTATTCTTTACCATAACCATAAATGAGCATCTTTGTGAGTGTAAGGATCACTGAAAGGCTGGATCACCTTAAACCAATCTGCCTTAAAGACATGGGATAGTGTTGCACACACTGTGATGCACAGTATTTGTGAAACCAGGTGCCGTTACCTTGACCAGCTGCTTAAGCTCTATATATGGTCTGTATGTTCCAAAGTGCTCAAGCTGCACACACTCCCCATCAACTTGTCAACAGAGTGCATGTAAAAATAAAATTTAAAAAAACCATTCTTAAGCCACATTCCTGCGACATCGAAGCGCCACCGGGAGAAAGTTTTGGAGAATCCAAAAACCTCAGCAGATCATTTTCATGACAGATGTTTAGCATGTCTCCAACAAGTGAAGCCACATCTGTAAAGTTGCTTTCTGTCCTTTATATGATTAGTCTGATTAAATAGTATAGTGACACTTTTTCCTATGAAATGCCCCCCTCACGCAGGCCTGACACTCAGTGTCTGCCTAATGTCAGAATAAAAGGATCAGCAAAAGCACCTGAAGACAAATATCTCCTGTGGGCAATAAACAACTCTTAAATCTTGTTAGCTTTGAGTGAGAGAAATACCCCATAAAGTTTAGTAGACTGTATTGAGAAAAAAATTGCAAATATTGCACATAAGCTACTATATCCCCTCTCACAACTCTAAGCCAAAAACAGCACTTAACGTGAGGTAAAGCAAGCAAAGCTATTTATAAAGTTGCTCTCCCTTCGATGCCTCCTGAAGCTTTAATTTTCTCGTGAAACTGTGCTGCCTAATTTCAGACATAAATGTGCTTTTTAAAGCATCCTTGCACCCAAAGTGTTCCCGTGTGTTAACAAACGGGTGCTGTGAATACATTGCGTTCAAGTATGGGCCTATTAATGTGAAGTAGCTACATATGCCCCAGTTTGGGACATCTGGGGTTGTGTGTGGGGGGGTTCAGTTCCAGTCTGCCTCATCTGGAAGACATAACTCTAAACATACCTTTAAACTTTTCTTGTGAGTGAGCCAAGTCTGTTAGTCAGAAGTTACAAAAAGAGAAACAAACATACCGAGATCGTGACAAATGCTCTCGAGCTAGAGGCTCTCCCGCGTCTGATAAAAAAATGTGTGTTTTTTAATGCTTCTGCTGAATGTCGTGGACACCGTGTTTTGTTTCCTGGGGGAAAGTGATTGTTCAGTGTACTGACAAGCGACACAGAGTAAGGCGCTCTGTATCCCCTCTTAAAAGGTTCTGTCCATATAAGGGTGCTTGTATTTTTCTTCTTATTTGGAGTCCTGGCTTGAGTACAAAGTTGATGAGGTCACTTTATTTTTTTAAAGCTGCAGGAGCACGCTCAGTACAAAGCCGTGTCAAATTCACTAACACGCACCGAGGTGAAAAAGCTGCGTTTGCTCTGTGATGCAGAATGCATTCATATTAAACAGATATTCCAATACAAAAAATATAAAAATTAAAGAGAGTTTAAATCCCACCAGCCTGATCAGGAGACTTTTTGGCCTAATTACTAAGGTATTCCATCTCTGTATGTGAAATGTCAACATGCATCAGATCAGTTAAGGAGCACGCAGTGATAACTGTGATCTTCATGAAAGACTTTTAAAAGTTTGCACGAGTTTATTCTTACATACATGAACTAATCTGTTAGTCTGTTAAAGTATAAAAACTTTTATGAGTTGTTCTTTTGCCTTTTACAGAGCAAAGACGGCTTTTGTTGCTGATGCTTCGGCCCTAATAGTGCGCCACAGGAACCTCGTTAAGCTGCCAAGAAATGAGCCAATGAGCCGTTTCCTCAGTCATTCACTGCTGTTTTCCCAGACTAAGCAGAGTGATTCACAGCTCAGTCACTTATCTGAGTTTGGGCATTGTGTTGTGCAACAAGCCATCTCATTTCCAATCCTGGGAGAAAGCAGTGACCTTACGCGATGGCTGGCCGGGCTTGTTTTCCTCTTTTCTGTTTCACATCATCTAAACAAATGAGGGCCAGTGCTCAAACAGCTTTGTATTTGCGGCATTCCTGCTCTTCGTCAACCCCCCAAAGTGTGTGGTGTTTAATTTGTGACAGAAAAGAAATATTCTTGGATGTTGCAATACTGTTTTTCTTGCTTTCTTCTAAAGTCGCTTTTATTGTGAAAGAGGTGATGTTTGTGTCAGAGTCCAGCTATTCCCCTCACATCAGTGCAAATGTGAGGGCAATATTAAAATAGCTGATTGTGCAATTGCGTGTGATGTTTGGAGTGGTGCACAGATATAGGTGGCGTGATGGTGCAGTGGTTAGGATTGTTGCTTTAGACCTTTTGGACCTTTCTGTGTGGAGTTTGCATGTCCTCCCCGTGTCTACGTTGGTCTTCTTTGACTTCCTCCGACAGTCTGAAGGCATGCATAAGAATGAGTGTCTGCTTCTCAGCTGGGATAGGATAGGAAGAGACTCCTGCAGCCTTCAACTGGTTGAGTTATAGATGATGGATGAATTAAATGTTGCTGTTCTTGGATAAATCATTTATTTATTTATTTATTTTTAGTTTAATCTGAGTTTAAGGCTTATTTTACTGAGCAGGGCATTACTATGCACACACTGAAAAAGTGAACTTTCTGGGATTTACAGCCAAGGAATTCGATTAAAAAAAATAAAGTGAAACTGTATTTCATCTATTTTGTGCCCACAGGACATCTTTAAGAATTATTTGAATTTTTGGAAAGCTGTTCAAAAAAGACATTAGGCAGTTTTTGGGAACTGATGTCATTCCAGATCCATTACTCCATACATTAGTCATACATCCAGATGATGTAACAAATGGAAAACTGTCGGGAATTCTGCTACTGATTGCAAATAAAACCCAATTACAGCTAAAAGCCATCTTTATTATAGAAAAAAATACTGCAGACTAGAGAAACGTCTACCAGTGACACAAACAATAACAGATTTATAGCTAGATCTTAAATGGGGGCTTAATTATTCTTTGCAAGAAAAAACATCAAAGCCAGAAATGAAGAATAATGATTTATGAATATTATAAGTTTTTTTTTTTTTTTTAAAGTAATCTTCTTCCACATGTATGTATAATAAGTAATCTATGTTCTACTTCAGTGCCTTCATTGGTGTGTTATGGCTTGGCATGCATGCACATGACAAAAAAACAAATGTATCTCTCCTCAAGACACATACAGCTCAAATGAAAGGAAATACAGTTATAATAAGAAATGATGCAAATTTAGAGGAAAGCTAAACTCTTGATAGCATAAATAACCTAACACAAAACAAGGGGAACATACAGGAGGGTCAAATATAAATCTTCCAGCATGGATTTAGTGCTAAATGTGAAACACCTGGAAAATATCTGCCTGTAATCTAAAAACAATAATTGCTCAAAGCTGTGAAAGGCAGGAACCACACGGAGGTAGGCAGAGACATCACCCGTTCCTGTATTTCCTGTGATTTTCTGTTAGGTTTAATGCACTTAAATAGCTCATTTGAAAAGTGGTTACCCAGACATTGTTACAGCCCCACATTAAAATAGTTATGTGGCCAATTATTTTGACAAGTTCCTCTCCATTTGAAGAAACCTACACAGCATTTATCTGCTATCCTCTCAAGGACACTTAGTGCATATCTGAGGCTTTTCTTTGTAAGCTGTGCGGTAAACATTGGCGGACTGTGTATTTTTGAGTTGTGAGGAGAGACAACGACAAATCTTTCCCCTCCTTTTTTGGAGTGTGGACCGTTGCTGTGGCATCCCAGAAGTAACCGTCCTCCCTGTAGCGAGGTGCGAGTCCCAAAGGGACGGACACATTGGCTGCCATATAGGGCTTGTTTTGTTCGCTGTTTGCTCCGAAAAACTGGAGCGAGGATGGAAAGTTACCATCTCTATAATGGAACACCTGAAAGATATTTGTATGTATAACAAAGTAGGATCATTCTTGCATTATATTTAAATATAAGCAATGGGCAAAAGTAATGACATCCAAAGAAGAAAGACTACAACTGGTTTCATTGGGGAAAGTTTTAATAGCAAATATGTGAAATCAAAAATGGTGTACAAAGTAAAGGCAGGCTTTTTTGACTTTTGATTCCTTTCTATATTATGAAATCTCACTCAGAGGTTTTTCGCTTCCCCCCATCAGCTGTACAATGTGTGTGCATCTCCATCTAGTGATGAAGTTGTTTCACTGCAGCTATGCAGAACTGCCTCATTTGCAGTATGAAAGTCACAAAGTTTCAGGACACTTTTGTAAAGCATTGTTATTCTAAGACCAGAGGTATCAAACATATGGCCCGGGGGCCAGAACTGGCCTGGTAAAGTCTCCAATCTGGCCCACTGGACAGCTTTGGAAAATGAGTACATAGATCTTTACCTGTATTTTCAGGTTTTCCAACTTTTCTTACTACACAAAAGTAATTAAGTTATAGATAAACGATGACAAACTGTTGTTTTTTTACTATGTTTTTCACCAGCATTTGTTAATTAATGAAAACTTTATATTTTAGAATTACAGGATATTGAACAATGTCCTGGGCAATGAACTATCAGAACTTTTTTTTGTAATTTTACCCATTTATCAAGTTTCACTGGTCCACTCTGACCCACTTAAGATCAAAGCTGGCAGTATGTGGTACACAATGTAAAACGACTTTGACATTTTAGATGTTGCACAGCTTTATGTATTTTCATCCTAATAACACAGCATAGTGATTGTAAATAAGAGATTTTGGGGTTGATTTCCCACTAACGGGGTGGCTGCAGCTCAGGAAATAGAGCAGATTCTCTATTAATTGGAAAGTTGGTGGTTTGATAAATATCCTTGGGCAAGTTACAAATCCCCAAGTTGGTCTCTGATGCATCAATCCGAGTGTGAATGTTAGATAGAAAAGCACCACAGAAAAAAAAAGGCTTGTGTGAATGAGACATGTTGTACAAGTGCTCAGGTAGAGCAGCTTGTCAGGAGATCATTTAAATCATTCAGCAGAGAGACATTCTGTAACAGTAGAAAATCATGGTGCCTTCCCTGTGTATTGATTTTGATGCCAGTATAAAGTTCTCTAAATCAATCCCTCAGGAAAATTAGCCAAAGACGCTTATTAAAAGCATAACTTTATCACTACCAGGGTTTATTTTTTTTATGGCATGTGGTCTTTAATCTAGAACTGACGAAGATAAAGCGTAAAGAAAAAGGAATCAACATTTTCAAAGATATCTGAGAAACCTTCCTAAAGCTTTGTAATTGGGATACTGGCAAAATATCTTAACATAACTCCTGAAACCAAATCCTCTAATAGCATAGTACTACAGTAATAATTTATCCCCTTAGCTGTATGAGTGGCCTTTTGTGCTGAATTTATGAGGTATTTCTCCTTATTAAATCCTCTTATTAATGAACCATTTTATAGGCTCCAGGAACCAATTAGAAGAAAATGAAACCATCAGTCATTAGTCTAACTGTGTAAAGAGGTGCCCTTTAAATGGCTCTGCCCAGAGCTCGACTACAGCAATAATATGCAGCAGCACAGTCAAGATTCAAGGTAGAATTAATAGTTTTATTACTGAACACCTAGCCTATGTCAGTGTTTGTACATTTTGGTGCCAAATGTACATTACGTTAAGTTAAATTACGCTGCCGGCATGCTCTCTTCAGATCTCTAAAATGTTAACGGTCCAGTCTGAATTCCTCTGCACACTTTGGCTGGCTTGATCTTCACACTGGCTTTTACTGGACGTCCATTTTCACCTCGTGTTACGTGAAAAAGAGTTTTCTTATCTGATTTCCCAGAAAAAATATGAACTTGTGAAACTGATTTCTGCTTTTTGACAGGTAATATTTCAAACATGACAACCGAGATTCGTGAATCTTAAACAGCAGATCTCACTCTTGGCAGGCCTTTATCTCATGTTATCCTTCTATTGCCTGATGCTGCACCCCGCTACGCTGTTTGTGAAGAAGTTACACATCAAACTGTGTTTTTTTTTTTTTTTCTTTCTTTTCTGACTCCCAAATGTCTTCTGCAGGTAGAGGAGGGTGGTCGTGCCTCCCTGGCTGGAGTACAGGATGGAGATGAGGTGGTGTCAATCAACGGGGAGCCGTGTGCTGACCTCACCCTTTTACAAGCGTTTGCGCTAATCGACACATCAATTGACTGTCTGCAGCTGCTAGTCAGAAGGTAATGCAGCATGCCAGCCGCTGAACTGAGATCATATGAGACATGTGCGAAGCCTAGAAAACCCCGAGTTTCAGAAAACAAAGGCACAGGACCGTATTCATAGGATAACATGTAATAATGTGAAGTAGTAAAACACAAAATAATGTAGGTTTATCAGTTACACCGCAGAGCCTTTGCATTGTGACAACTGAGCCATGCAAACTGTAAGTCCTTGGTGACCACAGCAGCAGGGAAAACTGATCGTTCCACTGTTTTATTAGCATTTAGATAGCATGTAGCTTTATGACATGTGGCCTTTTTGCATACTTGAATGAACCCCTGTTTCTGTGATCATATCCAGCCACGTCTGCGTGTGTTGTAGCCTGTGCCTCGACCATGCTGAACCTACCAAGTGGCTTTGCCAAGGTGTTGCAGATTTGTGTGTCTGATTGGCATGCAGCTGCTCAGCCATTACTCAACTGGCAGTGCCAGTCTGTTTATCAGAGTGACATGTCCTCAGATAATCCCGCTTTCTCTTTAACAGGCCTTGACTGCTTGTTGTGTAGCTGCTTTAAAGGGAGATTCCGAGCAGATCGTCTCAACTTTGCTGTTTGACAGAAGTTGATTACATTTGGAGACAAGAGCTGGTCTTTAACGGCTAATTGACTTGAGCACAGTTGCTGTCATGCATAATGACGTTAGTTTATGCTGCTCCAAACTGACCTTGAAAGTCGAAATTAGGCAGATCGGTGTCTGAACGTAATTATTTTCCACTTCGGTGCCCTGACCTTTTCGATTCACTTTCTACATCGAGATTAAATCTCCTTGATTGCTTTGACAACTTCAGCGGAACAACGAGGGCTTCAATCCAGTGCTGAAATGCCTGCTTCTGTCGAGTGAACACCCCTGCATCTTGCTTAGAGGTGTAAATTGGGTGGGTTTTAGTCTATTTAGAAATTTAATTAAAACACGGGTCTAAAAGAAATCTGTCCAAGTTTTGACATTACTGGAAAACAGGAAGTGTACATTTCAAACTGTAGAAGAGGAAAAAATGTAACCAATAACATTTATCAATAAGTAATTGTTTTCATGTCTTCCCCCAAGTTCAGTTCATTTTAATAATGAAAAGAAAAAACACATTTACTCCGTCACTCATTGTTTATCTCGCCTTCTTCTTTTCTAAAGATACCACTCCATCACCACTGAAGACTATGAATCGGATGAAATGCACTGCAGTGAGAGGGCCTCTGCGGGTGAGACTTTAGAGAGCACCACCCTTCACATCTTCCCCCCAAAGCAAACATCCCAAATCCCAAATCCTGAATCCCCGGATGAGACCTACAGCAAAGAGTTTAATATCAACACAGAGTTTTCCAAGGAAGGCCAGCTGCTTTGCACTCAGCTACATATCCCCTCATCTAAGGAAGAAGATGATAAAGTACAGCGGTGCTTCTCACCCGGGGACATGGTGGAGCTCCAGGTGTCCCTGTCTGAGCAAACCTTGGATGATGTGGGCTGCGCCTCGCTCGGAAGTGCTCGTGGGATTGATGGGGACCTCTCAAACCGGGAGGCTGTGGAGGCTGTTCATATCACCAATGCCGCCACCGCATCGCGCTCCGTCAGGGAGCCGCTAAGCCATCATGGAGTGGTTCTCAACTCCCCTTTAATGCTGGGGCAGGTGGAGGTCATTTTGGAGGCATCGGGAGTAGGGAGGGGCCTCCAGAGTGGAGGTGGCACTCGGGTAAGGGAAACAGTTGGTTCTCAAAGTGAAGGAGAAGAAGAGGACTGCAGTCCTGCAGAAGAGCAGGAGTCTGATTCTGAAGGAGTTCAACACAAACCCAACAAGCATCGGGCTAGGCATGCCAGTAAGTATATTTGGACTGGTTCCACCTGCACCAGTATTACCTTCGTGTGCATTCTTTCTGTGTGTGTGAGTGGGGATAACTGTCTTTTCTTTAAGAGGGGTAATCTTCAGCACTAAATTACATTTGTCAACATGTGTGCATTCCAAAGCCTGATGTCCAGTGTGTGTACGCCTCAAAATAGTCTCTCACTGCAACTGCAAGGGGGGTGGGGTGCTCATTCCTTTGAAAGGAAGGAGATGCATCCGGATGTAACCTGAATTATCTCAGAACCAAAGTTATAGTATTGCGGGTCGATCGAGCTTCTAACAAAGTCTTATCATATAAGAATTCACTATCACAAGAGAAAGATACAAAAAGAATGGATTGTATGTATGGGGGGGGGAGCATCTGCACCCTATAAAACATTAAAACCATCCATTTAAAGAGAGGCAATGGTGAATATGGATACCGGGGCGTTCCTCTGAGCTGTGTAGAAGACATAAATATAACCCCAGCACGCTGACGATGCCTGCAGAAGTGGCCCTTTGACAGACACCAGCATGTGCTCCCCCAGACCCGTTACCTGATCCTTTCAAACTGAGTGCTTTAACTAAGCTCAAAAAGTGAGTCTGTCGCTCACTCCCGCTGTCTCCTCCACCTTCAGGTTAGTCTTGCAAGAATATAAAAAAGTAAGCCCGCTGGTGTTATTGTGCGATTGCATTCGGCGCACATTCTCCGTGACTGTCGGATTGGACGAAATGTGATTTCAGAAGAAAACATTTTATTTTATTTTTTTTCTTTCAAGTAGACTGCGTGCCAACACACACAGAAGGATTGGTAAAGACGTTGCTGTCCTGGTGAATTTATTGCATGCATGCTAAAATAATCTTTCTTGCTTCCTATTCTTGGCTACTTTACAGGGTTGGATGAGTGATTGAGTGTACAAATGGGAATATTAGACATGGGTCGGAGAATTTCATTATTGCTTTATGGGCCAGTGTATTATGTTCAAGGGAATGAGCTCATTTGAATGATAAAATCACAGCTGGATAGTATGTAAGTATGTAAATGTAATGTGTGGACTGAGAAAATATGTAATGTATCATTTTTTTTTGAGTGAATGAATCTGTAAATAGCTCAGTTTACAGTCTATTTGCTGAGTGTTTGGATCAGTTCAACCACAGAGCAAGCTGTATTATTAGTTTACTGTTATTTCTGTATCTGCTTTAGCTGTAAATGCTGGATGAGGTTAATATCAAAGTAACGTTACAAGATGAAACTGCTTCGTGGCTTGCTTATTTTAACCTCCTAAGACCCAAACTCTTCCACGGCATGCATTTTTAATTTCTCTTTGATATTTGGGCATATTGGGGCCAGATGAACGTAAAAACAAAGAATTACCAGATTTATTTTTTTTACCTTATTTTTGTTTTTATGAAAAATAAGAGCCACATATACGGATATTTGTTTAAAATTTTGATAGAACAGTAGCAGTATAATGTCCTCGTAAGTGGATATCAGGCCCATGTAGAGCAAAATTGAGTATTTTGGTCTAAATAACCCAAAATGTGATGTCCACATATGTGGACGCCAGGTCCTAGGAGGTTAAAGGTGAATTGTATCTTCTGTCTCCACATAACTTCTCCAGGCAGCTTTGATGAGAGCAAAACTAAACAGCATTTGATATAAAAATATTAACTACAGTCACGTGTTTAGTGCAGTTTGTAAAGCCTCTTTAAAGTCTCTTGTTCAAAATCTTTACGAACTGTTTATTTTTTTAAGTAAATTCAGATGAACAGATTAAATGTTTTTATGATTGTAATTCTTTAAGGTTTTAGTACCATTAAATTGGATTCATTTTGGCCATTTTTTAAACACAACTGTCTCTCTTTTCCTTCTCTGTTAAGGGCTCAGGCGCAACGAGAGCATTTCAGAGAAACAGCTAAAGGAAGCCAAGTCCAAATGTAAACGAATTGCCCTTCTTCTTACGGCTGCTCCGACCAACCCCAATAACAAGGGGCTGTTGATGTTCAAGAAGCATCGTCAGAGAGCTAAGAAATTCACGCTCGTGAGCTACGGCACAGGAGAAGACGAGCCAGAGTACAGCGACGAGGAGTACGAGGAAAATCCAGACAGCAGACAAGAAACCTCTGCTCCACAATTTATCCTTGTGGCCCCAAACGACTCTGACATAGATAAGCCTTTTCTCACTAGCACCCACAGTGGCAAAAGTGTGCTAACTTTTACCTTGGACAAGGGTCTTCTTGAAATCGAAAGGAATTTGAAGAACCAAGCAGAGATGGAATCTTTGCCTGAAACCAAAGGCAAGGGTGCGCTGATGTTTGCCCAGCGTCGCCAGAGGATGGATGAGATTTCTGCTGAACACGAGGAGCTTAGGCGCCAAGGGATCCCCGTTGAAGCAGTGCAAAAGGCTGAAAATAAAATAGTGGAGCATTCCTACATGCAGTCGGCTGCAGAAGGCCGCAGTTACATGGATGTAAACGTGCACCAGCAAACCCAGCAACAGTACCAGCAGTTTCAAGAGCAACAGTACTATGAGCAACAGCAGAACTACCAACAACAACAACAATATCAGCAACAATATCAGCAGCAATATCAGCAACAGCAATATGAGCAAAGTCACTATCAGCAACAGCAAATGTATCACCAGCAGCAAGAATATCATCAGGAGCAACAAAAAATGCAGCAGTATTCAGCAACTGTCAATGGCACTGTCCAACATCAAACAAATGAAATGCAGAGCTCTTTCAGCAATCGTACTGCAAAGCCTTTCTCAGCAGACAACATGGCGGCCACCCCTTATTCTCACGCAATGAGTGGGACCAATCAAGATTCTGTGAGTCAAGGAGAGCAGATTGCTTCCCGTGATGAGCGCATTTCTACTCCTGCAATCAGGACGGGACTTTTGTTGGATTCAAGGAAAAAGAATGCAGCCAAGCCTATGTTCACATTTAAGGAAGCCCCAAAAGTATCCCCAAACCCAGCATTGCTGAACCTCCTAAACAAAGGTGATAAAAAGCCCGGGTTTGAATCAGGACCTGAGGATGATTATCTTAGTCTTGGAGCCGAGGCTTGTAATTTTCTTCAGTCTCAGCGAGTCAAACACAAGATTCCTCCACCAGTTGCCCCAAAGCCTGTGATCAATCCCACATCACCTCCTTGGTCCTCACAGATAGAAGCAACCAACCAGGAGATGCCTCAGTGTGCTGAAAATAGTCTATCCACACCTGCTGCAGCCCCCACCGCAGAGACTACTCCTGCTCCAGAACTAGAGCCAACCCCTGCACCTGCCCCTGAGTCTTATCCCCCTGCTGCACCCCAGGAGAATCCTGGCAGTACCAACAAAGAGGAACAGCACACATGGCCGCTCCCAGAACCCGAATCTCAACAACAGCCCACACAAGCTGTAGCTCAAGAGGCAAATGGTCATATGAATTCTACGCTGCAGTCTGAGTCGTCTGCTGTGACTACCTGGGGTGCAGCTCAAACACAAATGCAACAACAGTTATCTTCAAGTTCTTGGCATTCAGCTCAAGTGCAGCCCTCAGAACCACCTCCAAGACAGTCCTCACCTCACCCACCTTGGGTATCACATCAGCCTACTCAGAACCAGGCACAGCAACCTCCCACAAGTACTTGGACCCCTCAAATTCAGCAGTCCTGGACGCAGCCTCCAGAGCAATCACAAGCCCAAGCACATGTTCAGCCATCCTGGGCCCAGTCACGAGAGCAACCTCAGTCTCAGCCGCAGGTTCACCCACCTTGGGCACACTCTACTGAGCAGCCACATCTACAGAAAATGCAGCCCAACTGGAGTCAAGCCCAAGAACAAATGCAGCCACAACAACAGCACCAATGGACACAGCCATCACAAACAGACTCTCAACATCAACCACCATGGATGCAACAACCTCATAAAAAATCCCAAGCACAAACTCCTTGGGTTCAAGGGGTACAACCAGAATCCCAGCCACAACCACCATGGGTTCAGCAAGCACAACATCAGGCTCCTCCACAATTATGGCCACAGACTGAAGCACCAGGTCAGTCTCAACCACCTTGGGTATCAGCTCAACCACAACAGCAACAGCTACCTTCAGTGAATGCATGGGCCCCATCACAAACTCAACCCCAAGCTCAGCCACCCTGGATCCAAGTCGCTCAACCACAACCTCAAGCACAGCCTCAAGCCAATTTAAATCCATGGGCGCCAGTACCTGCCCAGACTCAGTCTCAGCCTCCATGGGCTCAACACCCCCCAGAGCACGGTCAACACCACATAAGTTCTTGGACTCAAGAGCAGGATCAGGCCCACCATCAGTCTCCATGGGCTCAACCTGTTCCAGCCCAGCCAGCACCACAGCCAAAGTGGCAACAGCCTACATCAAAGAGTCCACCACAACCACCAATAAACACATGGCAACCAGCTCAGACACAGCCTCAGACACCTGTGAATGCCTGGACTCCACAATCACAGCAAAAACCTGTGAATATTTCCACACTGACAGTGAACACTCGCCCCTCTCCAAAACCTTGGCAACCACCACAAAATGTTCCACAAAGCCGATCCCCTCCTACTCCGCCACAGCGAATGCACTCTTTCACTATTGGTCAAAGAGTTTCATCGCCCATCAACCCAATGGCCACTGTCTTAAACCCATCATCCCAGGGTTCAGCATTTGAGATGCCAGCTGTTAAAGGAAAAGGAGCTGATATGTTTGCAAAGAGGCAGTCTCGAATGGAGAAGTATATCGTGGACTCTGAGACGGTGGAAGCAAATAAGGCAAGCAGGTCAACATCACCAGCAGCTTCCTTACCGAATGAGTGGAAATACACTCCCAATGTACGTGCTCCACCTCCACGTGCATATAACCCTATTCAATCACCTTTTTATCCCCCAGCAGCAACAAAGCAACCCCCTTCAAGTAGCCCCTCAACCAAAGCAAAGAAAAAAGACAAAGCGAAACAGATGCCTGCTCCTAAACCTCTTAATGTAATAGATGTCATGAAACATCAACCCTATCAACTAAATTCCTCACTCTTTATCTATGGTCCAGCAGCAGAGGCCACCAAGCCTTCCGCACCTAAGACCAGCTGTTCGCCTCCTAATCCACCTGATGATAACCAACCAATCAGATATGAGCAAATGCCCCTGGTCCAGCCTGCTGGACCATTTGGTGCCCCATACCCCCAACAAACCTATGAGATGCCAATGCAGCCTGTGATGCACGATAGCCAGTATCAGCAGATCCAACCAAATGTTTATCCCCCCTCTAATCCTTATCAGCAACCTCCTAGTTGTCCATACCAGCAAGTATATAACCAACAGTATCAACAACCTGCTCCACCTGCTTATCATCCCCAAGCCCCTCAGTCTCCAAACTCTCCCTACCAACACTCGGTACAAGCTGGTTACCAGCCAGCCAATAGCCCTCCCTATCTGGCAGCTCCTTCAGTGCCCTACCAGCCACAGCCTCTTAGTAGCTATATTGCTCCCAGTTTCCCTGTGGCTGCTAGGCCTGAGTCTGCATCTGGTGGTAACCCTGGAGTGGCTCCCAAGCCTAAGTTTACAGCTAATAAGAGTTCAGCTCAGGTGTGGAAGCCTGCAGCAGTTGATAAAGAGTGATTCTTGTAGAATCATGACTTATTTGACGTCTGCTTGAATTAAAGGTTTTGTGCCCCGCCACATGGACTATTTTCCTTACCAGCTCTATTTATTGTCATAGTGCAGAACCTACTAGTCTAAAAGTTCATGGAGCTAATGAAAAAAGGAATATCTATAAAATTAAGAATATAAGGATAGACTTACATCCTATTTTAATAGAATTTTAGTATATCTTATCAGACGCAGCATAGTCATAATAATTGTAAACATATTTTATTAGGCAAAAGTAATAAATGTAAATTCATTACATTTTATGCAAAAGAATTGTGTGATTAATAAGAATGTAGGGGAGCCTAATGCTCAGTGTGAAGTGAAAGAAAAGGGTGCGAGAAAAAGATTCAGTGGAACTGGATAAGTCAAGACAGGTTGATGTTTTTAAAGGGGAAAATGATAAATGTTCTTAATATTACAAATTATTACATTTTAAAAAGACCAAAAAAAGTTTTTAAGCAAATACTAAAAGTATTTGTATGTGGGTAAGTGAAAAGGATGGGGCCTGTAGCCTGTAATAATATCAAGCAGAAGGCTTAATGTGTAACGTCAGATGTTGAGTACGGAGATTATGTAACAGCAGTGGGATTTTAGGCTATTCTAGGCCAAATAACACGGCAGACAGACTTGTGACAACTAACACTGTTTTCCTTAAACATAAAATGTGCTATACTTCTTTTTTCCCCCAGTACTTTCCCCAATTCCTTTTTGGTAGGACCTACTTAAGTGTGTTGGGTTTTATTTAAAGCTCTCTACCAGCTGTTGCGTCATGTTAGACACTATATTTAAAGTCCCTCATGAGACAAGATTCTGAGGTCCAGAGAGTAGGCTTAAATTTCAACTTAAGCCAGTGAAAGCTACCAACTTCCAGACTGCCATAGTATTTTTCCTGATAAGAGACAGTTATGTAATGTCTATCACTCATAGATTTACCCATTATGTATCTGTTCCTTGTTTTGATATGTGAACAGATGATACATGATCTAGAAAGGAAGAGTTATTGAAAGGATAACCAGCCTGGTAATGCTCACAAGTTGATTTTTGGTACAGGGTCGCTTCTTTGGTTCTCTGTGTTCTTTTCTTTTTGTGTCTGTGTGTTTCTCTTCATAGTGCACTTTCTGTATGATTCACTGCAGTGCCATTAAACTGTCTTTTATCTTTGTTTGGTTTCCTTTTCTTTTGTCCTCTGAACATGCTTTTAGGGTTTCTTCTATTTTTAGTCTCTTTGCTGTTGTCTTGCTGAATTTCACCACTTCTCCACTTTCACTATAAATACTGTCCTTATTGACCTTGTCAACAAAAAGAAAAATCTGTCACAAATTAGTCCGTACCACAGCATCTGGTGGTTCCATTTTCAAGAGTTATCAGCAAGGTGCACCTAATTATCCAAATCACCTCCTTTTTGTAAAAAATAAAATAAAATAAAGAAAGAGAGAGTTTAGAAACTTGAGATGCACATTCCTGCAGAATGACCATGTGATGATGCATTTACGAAGAGTATTATTAGAGCTGTGACTTCACCGGATAATTATGGTCAAGTGAGTGAGCACAGCTGAAATATATATCCATGTTGCATCATGGATTTTGAAAAAGAGCAGATATATGTTGAATGAAAGTATTAGTATCATTTCATAATCTTAGTTAGCGGATTTTACCGACTATTTCTGAAGGGAATTGATCCCCATGCCGATTCATTTATCTTCAATCTGCAATCAAAAGACAATAAAGGAGAGACAGCAAATGTTTACTCTTATTTTAGAGCCCACACATTAATGCCCTGTAGTGCTAATACACCAAGCTTTGACACCTTTTGCTTCATATTATTTCTGTTTTAATAAGAAAAATACAAGATAAATATTGTATTTATGCCCTAAATCAAACCTTAGCCAAACCATAAATCAGGATGTAACATTCCTGCATTTAAAGACTGTTTTGAACATCTGTCTTAAAATGTAAGGAGCCCAGCTGTTACGCTCGTTTTCTGAGCATGTTAAATCTGGCAGAAATGGCACATAGAAGGACATAAACCATGTGCAAATGGGCTATCGGTCTCCTTCAGCAAAGTAAAAATATGACCTACTGATCTGTTCATATATTCTTGTGCCCAGGACCCCCACTCCTGTGGGCATTTTAAGCCTACCGCATACCTGAGCAGCAGAGACTTTATTCCCCTTGACTGATTTAGCATTTATCTCTGCACGCTCTTCTTCTCTCTTCTTAAATTTGTGCCATATTTTATCAGCTGACAGTGCACATCACTCACCAGATGATGGCAGCACTGGCTTTTCTGCTTATCCACCATACATAACAGGAGGCATTGGATGAGATTATGTGCAGTATAGCTGTGTTTTCACCCCACATAACCCTCTGCAGCACCGGTATCCTGGGGATATTATTGGTATTGGGCATTTAGCATTTCCATCTCGTTATTCTTTCAAACTGTTGCTGTTTAGCAAACTATATTAAGTGGAAATGAGCCGAATGTGGCTTATACTTCCAGAAGGTTATGCACTTTCATGTGCCAGTTGCTCTGATTAATAAGCGGGACAATGTGTTTAGACAAATGCTAGTGCAGTTTAATTCACTGGCTGCAGTATGACATGTCCTAGAACTCTTTTACACACATACACATACCCCCTGTGAATAAGAGAGTGACTGATCTTCTATACACAAGTAAATTATACATGTATTACTGCATTTAAAAGAAATAATCCTGGCAGGGAGCTACTCTGCATCTCACTCTTATCCAAGCTAATTTGATTTGGCCAAAGAGCCAAACACAAATGAACCCTTACTAAAATAAACATGTCTGGATTCTTCTTTACAGGCCCCTGGCAGGAGCTACTCCCTTTCTCCACCAGCCAGAGTACAGTTCACGGGCCAGAAGTCAGCTTCAACTTCTTCCTCCCCAAAGCCCCCAGCACTGGGCTCCACAACTCCCTCGGCAAGGCAGACATGCTGGATGGAAAAAAGCCAAAAGCTCCTCACACCATGGGAGGCTGCCTCCCGGCATCCCATGGGCCTGGTAGATGAAGCTTTTGCTTTCCAGAGCCTCCAGCAAACCCTTGCCTCGAATGTGCGCTTGGCAGCCCAGCGCAAAATCTTGCCTGAGCCGCCAGCAGAGTGGAAAGCCAGGGTTTCTTACCAAGCACCGCAGAAAACAGGCAGCCAGACTTGGAGCCAAAGCCAGAGCCTGAGTCGAGCTTCGCTCCCATCGTTTGTGTCGCCAGTAAGGAGCTCTATCTCCACCACAGTTAGTCATGCCGGTTACAGGTCCCTGCCCAGACAGTGGCAGCCTCAGAAATCTGTGACAGAGGCTAACCCGAGGCCCTCGGTGTCTTCATATGAGTCTAAGAGCCCTTTCGGAAAGCAAACTTACAAGTCTGTGTACACCAGCAACACTTGGAGCTGGAGGCAGTAGACTACAGTTCAGCCTGTGCGGTCTTTAATGAGTCAAATCTCATTTATTCTGAGTTTCGTAATACATTCACATGCAGTCAGGAAATAAAAAACAACAGCTTGTTAGAAAGGACAGAAAGTTAACTGGTAGAGAACCTTTTAATACATTCTATTGTTAGATATTTGAAAAGATGTGGGAAAAATGGATGGCAAACACACTGATGTGGAAGACTAGTTTATTAGATAAAGAGATGAGTACGTTGTTTAGAGAGAGTGCATCAATATCTTTGGTGGAAAAAGCATTTGATTGCATATGTGGACTTATCTGTGATTGGAAAAAAAAAGACACCTGTCATTTTGTAGGTTTTAAGTGAAGATTGTTTCTTGAGTTGTTCTTGAGCTTGTGGATTTCCAGCAATCTGAGTTTGATATTTTGCTGTGGATGCATGCATCTGCCATGTAGGTTGCTACCATGGGTGTACACTTTTCTTTTTTTTTTGCTTGTTTTGCAAAATCCATGCAGGATTTGTGGTGTCCTCTGATAAGAAAATGATTCAAGTGCTAGAATGCAATTACCTTGGGAAAAGGTGCCATAACCTGTGATGTCGTTGGTGCACAATAGGTGTATTTTCAGTAATGCATTGGTATGTGGCCATTACCCTGGTTCTGCCAGAGGTTTCTTCCTGTTAAAAGGGAGTTTTTCGTTCCCAATGTCACCAAGTGCTTGCTCAAAGAGAGTCGTTTGATTGTTGGGATTTTCTCTGTATTATTGTAGGGTCTTTACCTTTCAGTATAAAGTGCTTTGGGGCAACTGTTTTTGTGATTTGGTGCTATATCATTAAAATAGAATTGAATAGACATTTCAACTGTCTAGCATCACATACATAACAGTATATACTGTATAGGAGACAATCAAATGCAGTATGTAAAACGACTGACAACTTTTTGTTGGGAGTGAATTTCATCGATCGCTTCATACCAATGAAATCTAATCAACACTACAAAAAAGATTTTTGTTTAGTTTATGGAAGGTTTAGTGCTGCCAGGGCGATTACTTACACTGTGCAATTGGCTTGTGGCTTATTTCTAGTTTGGGCTTTTGCTATCGACTTGTAATCATCTCCAAATGTTAAAGCTACGTTGGTGTTTCCACAGAGTGCGCATAATGTCCTAATGCGATTCTCACTGAGCAACCTCATAAATGCAAATAAGATTTATTACACAGTGTTGTGTTTTATGCAGATGTACTATAGTGTAGTGTAACAATCTCAGATTGTTTTACTGTATCACTTCCATTCAAACAACACATATTATGGTCGTAATTCAATACAGCAGTCCATTTCATGTAGAGCATTCTATAAAATAAATGCAGTGAAATATCACAATTTAAGACGTTGCCCTTTTGTGCTCTTTGCTGTCTATTCCCATCTTGTGCTCGGGGCCATTTGTTGCTTGCTGTGCCATCCCGTGAAGCTTTTTGCAAGATGTGTTGTCTCAAATGGTCACTCCATATACAGCACGGTGAGTTGAGAGGGAGACCAGTTCCCATGGTGACCAGATGTTACATAACAACAGTGGGTACCTAGTGTAGCTGAACCATTAGAGAATGAGAGATAAGGGCACAGACGGAGCCGATAAAAAGCAAGTATTTCCCCACCAATTTGGATCTGGGAAACACTTTGCGGTTCAAATGCTTTTTAAAGGGGTGAAGCCTGTTGAAGTGCATAGCACTGTAGCACATGTAATTTTATTGTCTTGATGCACGCTCAATTATCCAAGTAAGAAAATCCCCAAAAGTTGATTCTGTTCATCTGGACATAGCGTGACTGAAGAAGTCACTTGGATGAGTTATGTTCAGCTGAACATAACTCATCCAAGTGACTTCTTCAGTCACGCTATGTCCAGATGAACAGAATCAACTTTTTGGGACATAACTTTATTATTATTCTGTGTCCCAGGCATAGCTTTCTGTTCACTATGCAGTGCAGTTATGCCACTCAGCTTGATATCCAACCCTGAATCCAACATACTGTAGCTCTGCTATGTGCCGCAAACTCAGCCTGCCTTCTTAAAAAACTGGGGGGAAATGAGACTAAATTAAATGTAGCAAGGTCGTTGGAAACATTGTGATGGTATTATAAAGTAAATGAATTCCATTAGACTTTGGTACTTCCTTTATCACATGATGGCACTTAAAACAAATAGTATGTGATTGGTCTGCAAGCCCTGAGGGGACCATGTTCCCGTGGTGGATGTCACTGAATATATTTAATGTTAGCTGTGCATAGCAATTTCCTGAGTGCTGAAACAGCTTTATTTTGATGTTAAAGCTTTGTCAGTGGTTTACTAAGCGAGTTTTCATGTCTTTAGCATTTTTCAATGCACGTCTATTAGAAAAGTTGCAAGCTGGCAGCACATTATTGCCCTATGTATAGTTAGAGCAACTCCAATTCCTCCAACACTTATCAACCGACAGATATATCCTCACTTTATCTTCCAGAGGGTTTTGATTTAAGTTTATCCGAACTACAGATCTAGTAATCGCCCCACATTTGTTACTTCTTTAGCTTCCAGACTTTTTTTTTGCAATTTTTGTGCTCTTGAAGAATAGTTTTCTAGTCTTTCTGAAGGTCTTTCAAAGTTTTTCTTTTGACATTAGCTGCTTTTTCATTCATTTTCAGTCCTTTTTGTTCACTGAAGCCTCATCAGAAATGGTCTCAGTGGAAGGGTGGCTGTCAAGAAAGCATTCTGAAGAAAGGGAAACATGGAGGAGAGACTGTCGGATTATACAAGAAATAGACTGAAAATCAGTTGCAACAGGTCTCAGAGAGTGATTAATCCAAGTGGGAAATTTGTGGTTCAAGACATCTTTGATGTGTTAGGATAGCGAGGGACAACACTGAGTGTCTTCGGCCATCTATATGGCATGGTGGGGGTTCTGTCTAATTGGTAACAGCTTCATTTTTCAGCATGATAATGATCCCAAATACTGCCAGTGCTGTAAAAGCATATCAGCATAGAAAAACACACACTGGTTCGCAGTCAAACACAATGGCCTCCGCAGAGCTTGCAGTGTGTGCTTTCTTCTTTGAATGTCCTTTAAGAAGCTTGGAGAACTATATCTGAAGGCTACTTAAAGAAATGACGAGAAAGCTGCCTAAGAGAGCTCAGACTGTGTTGAAGAATGGAAGCGATCGTACCAAATACTGATTTTCAATCTCTGCACCTACTTTATATTTTCCAAATATATAAAGAAATTAGTGGCGGCTTAGGACTTTTGCACAGCACTGTACATGCCTAAATGCAGTGAGTTGCAGTTATCCGACTGGGTAACAGGTATGCCTAATAAAAGTGTTTGCCTTTTATTTATTTATTTGCTTTTTTCATTAAGTTCATTCTCATTTTTTTTACATAATAACTCTAAAAGTGCCCGCTAGGTAAATGTTTGCCTGTTTTGAAATGAACACAGATTCATTCTGAGCTACTGTAATAACACCGGGCCAAGGGAGATGGTGTTGGGCAAGTGAAGTAGTAGTGGCAGCGGTCTAAATTTAGTCGCCCTCTGCTTGTGAACTAAATACCAATGACAACAGACAAACTGACACCCCTCCACCCACCCACTCATTCAGTCACTCACAGGCTGCAGCCCCTACTTGCTGCCCTCCCCAACACAAGCCTCAGTAACGGGGAGCGTGAGCGCCCACACGGGTCACACTACCCGGTCTGACCTCACCTTTCTTTCCCCGAGGAGACAGGCACAACTTGAGACAACCCCCTGAGGGTCCTTCAGGACAGGTAAACCATCGCTTGGGCTTCTCCACAGGTGTGCTGTCCATGTCTAACGTGACACTTGCACTTTTAATCAAGCATGACTCTCTCTGCCACCTACACTCAGTCCCTCTGTATTTTACTGTTGGTGTGATAGCTTGCTTTTATATTTATTTTTTTATTTTTTTAAAGAACACATACATGAAAATGTATGTCTTTTTTCTGTATTAATTTAATTGTATATATGGGATATGTCCTGATTTATTTAAAGCGAATGTACCTCAAATACAAAGCTATAAATAGCATATATATATATATATCTACACAACAGCGTATTGGAGGTAAAGCATTTTGCAACCTTGTCTGTTATCAACTGATTTCTAAGTGATGGTAATTTGAAGACTTGCTGTGAAATGCTCGTTGGTTCTTTGAGAAATTGTTCTTTGCTTTGTGAAAAGCATTTTGGATTCTAATAAAACACTCGTGTTCTCCGACACCTCGGTGTAAACTTTCCGATTTGCTCTCTAATCTGCTGTCTCACATGTTCGATGTGACAACACCATGCTCTGCATCCCTGTCCTTTCAGCCCACTTGGGTAATTTCAAACATATCGATTCTGAGACGCCCCTGACACTGCTGGTTGCCATATCTGCAGAGCATGTGCTTGGCGTTTAACAGCCCAAGGTTATTTAAAGGGAAGTGCTAACTTTGCCCTTTTCACTGCCTTGATAAATTCTATCTGCTTCGGTGGGATTTTGTGCGTGTTGTGGGTGTTTGATGACTAACATGCAGCTGCCTTGCTTTTGTCTTTGATTGTACATTTGAACAGATTGTACTGATGTGCACTGTCTCCTGTGACTTTTTGCCTCACCCCAATCTCCCCAATGGCAGCCATGTCACAGTTCTCCACCATGACAACCAGAGAGAGGAAAATGCAGGCAGCAGCAATCTGCAGGGAGGTTCAAGCCCAAGAAGGTAGCTGTATCGTTTCCTCTTCACTTGCATGTTTTCCTGATCCCTCTGACCTCCCACATTCTGTTCTTACCTTCTTCATTAAACATGTAAACAAAGACAATTAGTTAACAACACCATAAGTTACAGTACAGATCTGTTAGCCTTACTGTCAAATTCTCCAAAATTTACTTTATAAAAGGCATGAGCCCATCATTTTCTAGCAAAACAGTTGCCAACCTTCCCCTCTATGATCCTATAAATAAGCAAATGACTACTTTTATGGCTCATAGTAACTAATCCTTTGTCGTTCTCCTTTGAACACGCTATTTCAGGGCGTGGACAACTGTGCGCCTTGGGGATGGGGAGGGTCTGAAGGCTACTGACAGCTGAAAGATATTCTGGCAAATTATGTGTCTCACGCTTGAATATAGGCCGATGACATCTCCATGATCAGCATGCAGTAGCCAACATGTGGAGCAAACCATAAAACAAGCACTGAATATGAGCTGATTACGAGGGAAGATAATTCCTCGTTCATCATACTGGCAGGAATGCTAAGTCAGCAGCCATGTACAGGATTTTTTCTTTTGTGCAGGGAGGTTTTTTTTTTCCTGTATGGATTTAATTTGATTCAGCATAGGTGGGAGTATAGGAATCGTGAAAATACATTTGTCTTGTCAGAAGTCTGATTCAAGCACTGAATAAACACAAGTTGTTTAGTGTCTTGTTTTGTTTCCTTCTGTTCAGATATAGAAATGGATCTGGGAAAGAAGATGAGTGTGCCTAAGGACATAATGCTGGAGGAGCTGTCTTTCGCCTCCAACCGGGGCTCCCGTCTCTTCAAAATGCGTCAGAGACGATCAGAAAAATACACTTTTGAGAGCATCCAGAACCAAAACAACACACAGCTGAATGTAAGAAGAACTGTGGTCTAAATTATTATCTTAAAGAAATCTTTAGATATTGGGGAAAAAAAAATCTTCTTTTTCAACAATAGGTCCCAAAATCGAGTCCTTGTTCATGTTTGTGTAGGAACTACAGTTAAAGCTGCAGGCAGTAGCAGGCTACCTTATCAGGAAGATTTGCTAGCCAGTTACCTTGACTCTCTCAAAAGATAAAAACTAATTAAATCAAACAAACTGACTAACCAGACGAACCAATCACCCTAATCTAACCAACTAAGCTAATCAACCCAACGCAACACAAACAAACAATCAATCAACCCAACTAACCCAAACACCAACCAAACTAATCAAATTAACCAACACAACCAACCCAACAATAAACCCCCCCAAAAATCTGTCCTCTACAACTTTATAATCCACATTTCATATCTTCTTTGTTTGAATTGTACCAGTTTAAGATCACTGCAACATAACAGCATGTAAATCCCATACGTAGCTGTTAATGGATACTTTAAAGCATTAATGTGGCCACTGTAGCTCACATTAAACAATAATGTGAGTCAGATATTTTAATTAAAAGGCCCCAGAAAGGATAAAGATCACAAACACACTGTTGAGGTCCAGTTCAACCACCAAGATGAAGTCTAAAGATGGCTACCAGCCTGGTGCTGACCAGTTACTGCTTTTAATCATGCAGAACTTAAACTTTTGATACAAACCCAAGCTGTCTTTTGTAATAGGTTGGAGACATGTTCATCTCTGGTCTAAAGCTGAGCATTTACTTACTGGAGTCTATGGGGATTCAGTCACTTGTGGAGGCAGTTCTTGGCATCTCTAACGGTCAATTCTTTAGCACCCAAGGTTGCAATCTTTAAATCTTTTAACCACCTAACTCCTGATAAGACAGCAAATAAGCAGATAATCTCATTAAACTGCACAACTAATCATTGAAATGCACATAAATTTATGATCATTTGTAGGGATAAAGATTAAGAGGGTACCGTAAGAAGTCCACATTGCTAGCGTGCATATTTTTCATGCCCGATTATCCCTTTCCTAATTCATCTTCTTTCACCAAAACATGAAAAACATTCCACCTTACATCCTGACAAAGTATAAGCACTTCGAGTGTTTATATTGCTTGTGCCACAAACACAGGGCAGTGTATCTGTAGCACAAGTCGTGCAGTTGGTCATAAGTGGTTTTATTAATGTTCCTTTGTGTATGGATGGGCAACACGCCAAGTTAGCATTTTCTTTTCTCAGCGGTACCATTCGCTGATCTGGTCACACAAAGAAGTTCATGTCTCACAGCGCACAGCAAAATCAAGTAAAGCCAGGTTTCTCTCTGTTATATCTAATTAATTAGGATCCGTAGTTATGTCCTCTTTAATTTAGTTGTGTGGTTCCCTTGTGTACTTTTCAATGCCCCCCTTAAGTCCACAGATAAAATAACTATTATGCTCAAGAGAAGTTTTTCCCCTCATCTTTGATGTATGAAGGACTTAGATATCTCGGTTTGTTTATTGCTCTGGGCAATAGAAGGATTTTGTTTCAAGTTGTCAACATTTCCTGAGGAAATCCTCGAGTAAATCATCATAAATATCTTTCAGAGGGGATGAAAAGCCGGGTGCTGGGGCTGCAGTACATTTCATCTCAGTCCAGAGAATAGTATTTCGAATGTAGAGGGCAAATGGACAGACAACTGGACAAACAGATAGCTCCTTTGTTTAAGGAAAACGTGGAAAATTGAAGATCTGTTATGCGCTTATCATGTGATATCGCTGCAATGAAGATACAACTGATTTACTGTTTAGATTTATGACTTCTAAACTGAGGAAACTTTGATATGCATGTCATGGTTATCCATTTTTATGTCATATTAACCTCAAAGATGGCAAGATGTTTGCTGCTTGTTTCTCCTGTTACCAAGTAACCAAACAAATGCTGTCGAAAATGTTCCAAAAATCGTGTGAAACGTTGATATGAATTGTCAGGAATCAACTGATTGATAAATGGTTTCAAACCTTTTTTGTGGGCCCGAATGACCTCTTTGATCTTTCTTGTAGAGCATTGCCATCTTCCAAACTGAGACTGGGAATACCACTGACAGCCACAGCGGCCAGAACAACGTAGGTGTTGACCAGCCACCGAAAGTGACATGTGACACAACAACTATGGAAATGGTGCCAGATCCCACCAGCATTGCTCCGGGTAGGTAAAGCTGTGTGATACAGTGCACTGAAAAAACTTTCCAAGGACTCAAAATCATACAGCAGTGATATACTACTGACTTATATTCAGCTGTTCCTATCCATTTAACCTGTTTGCGTTAATTGTGTTGTACTAAACTTTGGTCTTTTTGCTGTATGATGAATGCTAAGTACAGCTCCCAGCAGAGTGACTGCGCACATGTGCTCTGCACAAAGTACTAGATGTGCCGTGTTTTGATATGGATTCAACTGTTTCTCGTTGTTTGTACTCAAGCAGGCTTTGATCGTGCAGGAAAACAATTTTCTTCTTTGCCTGGAATCTGCTGGCCTCGGGCTAAATATGATTACACATTTCTGTTCTCCCTCTCTGAGCCTGACTCCTTTATTTATTTCTATATATTCATCCTACTCCCTTGTCTCATGTCTACTCCTTTTATTCAGCCGTCCTTATTGCAATCAGCTCTTACCATCATTCTAAAATTCGTTGAGTTTTACTCACGGAAACCGTTTCCTGTTTGGCTCTTGTGCTGCTGATACCATCAGCTGTGCACTCACATCCTCCCTCATGTCCTAATTTTGCTCAGCTGACACAAAACCATGATTTAAGGATGACCGTGTTGACACTAGGGTGGGGTGCTATTTGTGGACCGGACACAGACCCCAGGGTATGTGAATGAAGTCAGTCCAACTGTAGCAGAAATCCGGCCAAAGTGCATCAGGTATCAAATGGGAATTATGTTTAAAATAGCCCACTCATCCACTTACTGTAGGAGTGCATGCCAGGCAATAGTCATATACAGTAAGCCCATTTCAACAGTTAAACACCGGAAACTTCACAAAAAGTTATTTTTGTGCCATTTTTCAACAATGGAAAAAGGAATAAGCAAACGTGCCTTTAGTTATCAGGCCACTTGGACACTAATTAAGCCAACTGCTGGTTTTTTTTTTCACATTTCCTTTTTGGTTTAGTTCCTTCTTTTATCCCTGCATGAAACTGGGGTGTAATCATCCTTTCCCACGAAAGTATCAGCTTAGCCAAACGTCCAACCACAGGAATAATATCCCATGGCCTCAGAAACATTTTTACACAGTGTTTTGTCATAGATTATTCCCCCCCTACCAAAAAAATCTGTAAACTTCCCCACAGGTCTGTTTGGTTTCTCCTGCTTCCTCCTCAGGGCAAAACATAAACTCAGGAAGGGGGAATTGTTCATTGTGAGGGGTTAGGACGTGACACAGCGGCCCGTGTTATGTAACGCCAAGCTTGCAAGCCCCCCTGAGTGAAGCGCTGGGTTTGAAGGATAGTACTTTCGATTGGACTCTCCCATCAACACACACAGTGTATGTGGGGAGACATACATGCAGGCATGCATCCACACACCCACACGCACAAACACGGGGAAGCTGTGCCTTTATTCTGTTTGGCTGTGAACTTTAATGAGAAAAAAAGGAGCTAAAGAAGAAAGACAGGACACTTAGACTGCTGTTAAATTAGGTACACATTTGTAACAAAATACAGATGAAGATTTTTTTTTTTAAATGTCACTTTCCTTTAGTCTGAAATGACCTGATCTCTTTGTTCTTTTGTATTTACATGCAGTCAAACTAAAAGACAAACCAAAATCAGTTAAAAGTTTAACAGTTACAGACGGTGGAAAGGGGAAACATTTTTTCACTTCTGAACTCAAGTTTTCTTCAGATCTGCGATGAAAGTGAAGGATCTGCTTTCTTTGGACAGTACGTTCGCTGGTGGCTGTTGAAGAAGTCTTTTGAACTGACTCTCACAAAGTTCTGGTTTGCGAACCGTGTGGAAAAAGCCAACACCTGGTCTTTATTTGACATAGAAAAACAGAAAAGCCCCACATGCCTTCACTGCCAGTGTTGTATAATTTATCCAGGGTATGGAGGTCCTTTGAAAGACATCCCTCCGGAGAAGTTCAACAGTACAGCTGTGCCAAAGTCCTACCACTCACCCTGGGAGCAGGCCATCATCAATGACCCTGCCTTGGCTGACACTCTCATCACCCGCATGCCAGAGCTGGCACCTCAACAAGACCTGCCAGGGTACAAAAGCTTCAACAGGTAATTCCCAAATAGGTCAGATGTGTCAAATATAAGGCCCGAGGGCCAGAATCATCCTTTCAAATGTAAAAGAGGGCATATATTTTGGAGTTTTAAATGATGTTTTACAGATTTTCCTACTGATAAAGGCCTCACCCATGACCATTCATACTAGATCAAAATAATCATGTAAAAGATAGCCCTGAGATTAAATGCACAGTTAAACTTCTTTGCACGAACTTGAATCAAAGCAGACCTTATGTGGCCCACGATGTAAAATAAGTCTGACATCCCTGAAACAGGTGAACAAATGGAAACACAAATGGAAATTAGGAGTTAAAAGTGAAGTTATAACAATAAAACATTTAAATATATAACTGTTGAGGGTGTGTTTTACTATTTATGAATGTAAATCGCATCCATTCAAAAGTCTAACTCTCTCTGAATTATACATTCTTGCTTTAATATAGCATGAATGCAAGTGGTGAGTGAGCAAAGAAAATACTGTCCTTCACCTCATTCGTTGCACAGTGTTTCTCACACTCAGCAACTGTATCTTAGAAATGTCCCCGGGTCAATGTCTTTGCTTGGCTTTAATTAATTGCGTCACTTCAAATGTCACTTCAAGTTTCTCTCATTAGCACATGTTGTCTGCTGTTAACACCGTGGCTTTGTCATCTCCAGGGTGGCAACCCCTTTCGGTGGTTTCAGCAAAGCACCCAGGCCTGCTCCTGTCAAGACCCTTCAGGTAGAAATCCTCCCAGAGCTCCCGGAGCTCCAAGGGGACACCCCGGTAATTCGACCCTCCTTCAACAGAGCTGCTCTGGGGTGGGTGTCTACGGGTGGTCCAGTCCCCCTCCCTAATGTTTCTGTCGAGAATGCGCTCATCCCTGAGTCAGAAGACCTTTGAACCCGTGTTGAAGTCACACAGAGATGCTGTCTACTTAGTTGCTTAACCTGAGGTTGTTGTTTGTGGAGTGATGCTGGAGTCAGAACAGAGCATCCTGTTGGGTGTTGCTGGTTCAAGTTAGCGTGTATGTAGCACCCTTTGGTCTTTCCACTGATGTTAACTGTTGCACTGCAGGGAATAATTTAAAAAAATCACTGTGTACATTAGACAGGCACACTACTGAAAACTGTTGTATATTGATTTTCATAAACAGATTTTATCTCACATTTTTGCTCAATAAAGTGGCGTACAATGATCAAAAATCCAATCAGAATTTTTGATTTTTCTTTTAATTGGTTTCAAAAGAAAGGGAAAAAATTGCACATTTCTGTTTTGGGAAAGGGAACAGAATGCAATATGTATGTGTGCGATACGGGTTGGTATGAGCTAGCTCCAGTGAAGGACGGTGCATTTTTGTGCCATAGTCCTATGCAAATTTCTCAGTTATCATAGTGTGTGAGAGGCCAGAGATCCATGTGAGCCAGTGTAACGTGCCTCAAGGTTACACTGCCTGACAAATCAAATCTGCTTCAGCGATATGAGCGACTTGACTGATGTGTCTCTCACCTTTTGGCTATGCCAAGCAGAAGAAAGATTGACGTTTGATAAGCTGTGGCCGCTGTCTTTCTGTTTACTACCACAACAGCCTATTCTGGAAGGCACCCCAGCTACAACAAGCTTAAGCAGCCATATTTATTCCCCGATACCATACATGTTACATTTGGGGCGAATAGATATTGTGCAGTTATCTTATGGTTATTCAGAGAGATAAATTAATAAAATAAAATAGAAATTAAAGAAATTATTGGAATTTTGTTCATGTATACTCAAGCACCATCTCTTCATACAATGTTTTTTTGCTTAAAGCAGCTAGTATAGTAGCATACTGTCAGGCTAACTTTTAGCTAGCATGCTAACTTTGTACTAAGTGTTTCTATTAATCTGTTTAAAATTATATCTTTCGGCACTTTGTCACTAGTAGCATGTGACAAAAACAAACAGCTGATTCCCATTTCTTTAGTTGAATCTATTTAAGAAATGATAGTTTGACTGACAGTTTGGCAGGCACAAAATACTTTTTTCACCAACAATGTGATTCCTGATGAGCTATTGACCAAAATCCTGAGATAGCTGTCAATGGTGTGCAGTGTGTCCTTAAAAAATTTGAGGAAACTTGATGGAAGACAAAAGAACTATTGGCAGAACTGAAAGGCTATCTACTGAAGATAAACAGTATCTGAAAGAAATGTGCTTTAAAAAACACAGCAAAGACCTGACATAGGACCTGAGAGATCCCTCACCTCATCAGAAATGGGCTCAGTGGAAGGGTGACTGTCAAGAGGCTATTGTTAACAAATGGAAACAGGAAGAAAAGGCGAAGGTATGCCAAATTACACAAATCAAATCAACCTGGTACTAGCAGTGATATGAATATTACATGGCCATGCTCTATTCTTGGTGATGTCAAAGAGATACACTGAAACATATTGATAAGATTAAAAAACTCTATGGAGGACAGATGTTGTTTATATGCAAAAAATAGGTATATAAATGAGATGTTGCTTACATGAAATTAAAATGAAAGGACGCTTTCATATCGAACTGTAGGCACATAAAGGCTAAAAGCAGATCATATTAGCACATTGCTAGGTGGTTGTCAGGCAGTGTGAATGTGCCAAACTATATCAAGCAAAATTCAACTTTCATGGATACAAATTAGGTGAAAGAATGATAAGATGGGGCAGGGATAGCTCAGTAGGTAAAGTGGTCGCCCCATGATCGGAAGGTCGGCGGTTCGAATCCACTTAACGGCTACCCTGAGTACCCCTGAGCAAGGTACCGTCCCTACACACTGCTCCCCGGGCGCCTGCTTAGTGGGCTGCCCACTGCTTCACTGAGTGAATGGGTCAAATGCAGAGAAAAACAAGTAATTTCCCCATGGGGATCAATAAAGTATCCATTATTATTAAGATGCTTTTATAAATTGTCATATGTGCATAATTGCCAAAAAAATGATCATTTTAGCCTGTTGGCAGATGGTTGCTAGGTAACATGATTCTTTCATAATATCTGATATAGATCACTCTTAAGTAGCCTCTGATGTACCTGTGTTTGAAGTTACAGAAATTGAATTGAATTTACATAAATTTTTAATTTAAATTTTCATTTACATAACCAGAGTTTCTATATTTGACATACTTACACAGCATACTTTGATAACCTATGTTTAATGAAAGTAACATTGCACTTTATTGTGTTTAATACTTCAATAGCCTTTTTTACTTTGGTGAAATTATCGCTATTTTTTTCTTATTTCTATTTTTTCAAGATCTTATTCTTTTATGTAAATAGTAAATAGTAATTTTTCTTGGTCTTGTGATGTGTGTATATTTTACAACTCAAGCCCAACTGATGGAAATATGAGTGGGAAATACCAAACAGACAATACTAAACGATACTGAACGGTCAGGAGGTTTAACAGCTAAAAGGTCTCAGTTATGACAGATCACATCTGCTGTAGGTTGGCTACAACTGCCAATCACTGTGACAAGGTGTCATTTTGATTTCAGGTAAGTTGATTGCCTTGAATTAGCTTTCAGTTAAGTTTATCAAGGCAAATCATCCTTTGATAAAGATAACTTGCTTTGCTATATAATGAAACCTTGACTATTTGCAACACTGCTGCATACTTAGCTGCTGATTTCTGTTAAAGTGGTTCTGTTCCTGCTGCCAAAAATGAAATAAGAAATGCCTGTCAGATATTTTGCAGCCATGTGACTCAGGCCAGTGTAGGCGTTCCTTGTCGCTGTTGGAGAGCCTTTGGTATGTGCAGCTTCGGCTACCACTCCCTTTTTTTGTCCTCCTGAATTCCTCTAACCAGTCTCTTCAGGAAAACTGTTTGTACAGCACACCGCCTAGCATCCAACACTTCCAATAGCCCAGCCAAGTACCACAGTGGATATCGAGCAGTGTTTATCAGCACCAGGCACAAACTCACTTTGAACTTTGAATGTAGCCATTATCAAAATGCAGCACTGGAAATATTATTGGCAGAGACCCTAGCTGGGGGTTGGGGAAGCCAGACGATTCGATTATTTGTGTCAAACTGCAACCGGTCTCCCCTGAGGCACATTCGCCTTGACATGAAATAGAACAGTAGGTACAGGCTAGAGCTACAGTTTGCCGGGGATAGTGGATTGTCCCAAACTAAAAGGTTGGATGTAGGTTCAGCAATGGACTCTTATGGAGTCTTTGAACAGGAGATTAAACTTTATAATCCTTTGCTCTCTTACAGTTGTGGTCAGAAGTTTACATACACTCATTATGGGCATGGATGTCATAGTAATTTGGAGCTGTCTACTGTCTCACTCACTTACTGAGAGGACAGACGCACGCTCCACTTGACTGCCGCGTCTCTCACCCTCTCTGTTTTTCACATAATGATATTATCCTATATCCTCGCATGTGATTGGCCACAATATGGAGGGATTGGAGCATAGCTGAGCCACTGTGAGAGCTGAGCAGCGAAAGGAAATTAAGTGAGGAGCCGGCTCTCGCTCAATGGGAGGCGACTCTTCAGATTCACTACAAAGCACTCTCTAAGCACGGCTCTTAGAGCTGATGCTTTTGCGCAGGACACATTATTAAATGTTACATTGTGTGTCAGGATACTGTTGACTCCAAATCTCCTGACCACTATGTCGATCTGAGACAGCAAGACCAAGACAGCGAGACCAAGACAAGACCAAGACCAAAGTCCGTCCAGACCAAGACAAGACCAAGACCACGTAAAAGTGTTCTCGAAGTCTCGAGACCAAGACCGGTTTTGAGACATCCAACTCTACATCCTAACCAATTTCCTCTCATCTGAGGACGACAGTTTGGGTCTTCTTCCATAACTGGCCTGAGTGGTGACACATCCAAATAATTTGTACTTACAAACAACTCTTTGATCTGGAAATCTGCAGTTGTTTAGAAATGTGGATTCCAGGACTCCAGATTCCATGTTCAAAATAGCTTCCTTGGGGCAGCTATGACTCAGGACGTAGAGCAGAGCATCTACTAATTGGGATATTGCTGGTTCTTGTGTAAATCTACAACTCTCTCTAGATTTTCACTGGGTTCCTTTAAAATTTCCCATTTTTCAAAATATCCTTTCTTTGTTAGCATAAAAACAAATCCTTTTTATGCTGGCAAAGAGAAACTACTGTTTGACTACTATCGTAGTCAATCATGATCACTGATGTGAAGTTAATAGGCCGTCGCCTTGTTAAGTTAAAAGACATTGTAGAGTCTTTAACACCACTGATAAAAAGATTTGCTTTGAATAAGAGCACCAGGGAGAGACACTCGTGATAGCATGTCGAAATCTCAGAGGACATTCCTTCAAAAATAAAATGCCTTTGGAGCAAAAGAATGAGTACACAAACACCCAATAGATATCAAGTTATCACTTGTTATGCAATAAGAACCCTGACAAGATGGAAACGTACAGTTTTTGGGTGTGTTCAACAGATGCAAGAAGTAGAGATGTTAGAGTCATGTTTTTTTGTATAGTGTGACCCGGCTAAGTCTGAACAGCTGGCTGTCTGTATGTTTATCAGCAGTTAACTATGGTCCCTGCTGCTGTTGCATTCGCTGTCAGGTTTTAAAGCTGAAGTCTCGTGGGTTTCCATCTGCACACACAGCACCGAACACTGATTGTGCAGTATGGCTGCTGACACAGACAACTGCTTAAAGGTTGCACAAGTTGACCGGCCAATATCCCAGAAGGATTCCTCTAAGTATGCATGGGTCTAGCGAGAAAAACAAATGTGCTGTGAAATAACAACTGCAAGGGCACCGAGGAGTGCCCACATGAAGACATATGGTTCTCTCAAAGGTTTTTGCATATGGCCGCACTTCCAATGTGTTCAGTGTCACGTTTTAGGTTGGTTAGGTTAGGTTAGAAATGTTGGAAATCTGGGATTAACCTTTTTTAATATATGACCTCCTGACATCAAAATCCACTAGCAACTAAAATGCAAAGCTAATCTAGTGTGTCAGCGTTTTAGTTTATGTCTTTCTCATCTGATGCGAAGCAGGTGTACATTCTCACAGGAAAGTGCAAAGCCCGGTGGGATTTCTAAATATACGAGCGAACATAAAGCATTCCTGGGGTCAGTCGGGCGGCGTTTAGTTGCACATGAGGTGAGGTGAAGGGTGACGCGGCACACATTCCGCTTCTGAAATGAGGTGGAGTGACGCAACAGGGTCAAGTATGTCTGGCTCTTGAGAAAAAAAACCCTTCAGTCGATCACGCCTCAGAAACCACAAGTGGACAATAACTGACAAACAGTGATGAATATGCTAGTTTCTGTGAGTAGGTACAGAAGTGTTGTGGGCGTTAAGGTGAATGCCAGCACGAATCTCTGAACTTCTTCCAGCTTTTAAGGACAGGAACATGCGCTCTCCCTCTCTCACTAAATGCACCGAGCTTGAGCAAACAGAATGTAGAGACAGCTTCATGGAGGGATGCACACAGCTAGGCAAATAATTACCTTGTATGGACAAATGAACATTCAAAATCATGTTCCTGTTTACTTGCAAAAGCCCTTGAGACCAATTAGCACTGTGTTCCCTCACGGTAATCCAGCCTAGGCCTTTGTGCCTTCGGAGGGCTCATCTATATTCCGGAGCGGTCAGTATACATCAATTTCCTCTCTTTGTTTAATAGTCAGCCAGGAATTATTAACTTTCTGCTTCTAATATGAACAGCAGCTAAAACAATCTGCAGCAATGACACCTTTAGGTGGTAAGCAAATGCTCTTTTTCCTAGCAACAACAACAACAGCAACAACAACAACAACAAAGAAAAAAGTAATTGCCCTCGATGTTGATACAGGAAGTAGCCCATTCTGCTGATGTCTTTTTTGGGGAAAGACTAATTTATGTACCTAATCTTAGTCAGTGAAGCTATCTCACTTTCTGAACATGCACTGGGGCAATAGCATGCTTGCTCTGTGTGCTGCAGCTACCGTGGATACAGCAAACACAGCAGAGAGATATATCACCGTCACCACCTTGGCTGCACTCCAGAGTTAATGTAACATGGGGAATTGGCAAAAAACAATGCTCATGTCATCCCCTTTTCTGCAGTAAAACAATGAGCAGTGTTTCACTCGGGGTCAGATAGAAAATGTAAATTAATACAAATTGCCCCTGCTCCTGTCCCACGGGACAAGTCTGAGGTGATGCCAAGTCATCATGACTTACACAAATGCCATTTTGGTGAATGTTATACAATGTAGACAAGATACCAAAGATAATATTTGTATCTTAGCCTGTTCTATGTCTTTTTCTACAGGCTTTTATTTTGAACTGTACCCCAAAAATGCATTTCTAGATGTTTCGACCATGAAGTGGATGAAAAAGTGGTTGACCAACAAAAGTCCTCTTCAGAAACTACTTGTTGAAACATTCTTGTGAAACCTGAAAAGGCTTCTTCGTTCGAAAAAGTAATTATTACAGGATTTTAAACCCCGGTTAAATATAGTACAAGTCGCTTTGGAGGCGTCGCCCTCCCATGGCCTCCATTGCGGCATTGGAGCATGTCTAATCTCTTACGTAACAACAGGACATTCACTGCTTCATTAGTAGTAACTCAATAGGATCACAGCAAATGGTGTTCACAGACAACAAGCTTTGCTTTGTTCAGTCGTTCTTCCGTGGGAAGTTGTTTTTAAGGAAGGGAAAATAACCTTGATTGTCAATTTCACAACTCGATCTCACATGTTGCATTGTGTCCTTAAAAAATCCATATTTGTTTGTGTCCCTGCATTTTTTTGAACTTATTTGCGTTTCCCACGATGACACATTCAAACTTGTATGCGCACACACTGGGGCTTTGATTGTTAGTAGACAGGAGCAGATTAAGTTCAGATTTCAGTTAGGCGCTTTAAAATTTGCAGATGCTTTTGCTACAGCAGATAAAAGCAATGAGAGACACAGAAACTGAAGCTTTATTCATTCATATTTCCTTACACTGTATTCTCACTGTCCTCTAGGGAAACCAATTCTAACTTTTTCAACATTTAAATAGAAGATTTTGCTATTTAGATTCAATCTGTCTCACAGTAAAGAGGAGCAAGATGAAAGCAGAGACCTTTTGAACACACAAGTCTCCCGTTGTGTTTATGGTGTACAGTAAATATGGATCGAAAAATCAGACAGCAGTGCTAAAAATATACCATTAAAAAATGGCACCACACAGCTGAGGTGAAATGGGATTTAGTTGCCCAGTAACCCATTTGAGATAATCAATGAATCTATTTCAATAAAAGCTGATTCTACTAATCTGATGTGTACTGGTTGTGGTTTTCTTTCTTGGCAAAGAGATGGTATAGTTTTGTCATTTGAGCTGTGTTTATTCACTGTGTTCAGCAAATCTCTTGCTGCTCACTGGAGCTTTCTGAAGGTGAGAAGTCCGGGCAATGGCACCAGGTCTCTACGGGACATTTACCATGTGCGCTGTCTCCTTGCAGAGCTGGCAAAGTGTTGGTAATTATTCTTAAAATAAAACACCCTTCACAACAGAATCAAACCTGGAAAGACTGGTGGTTGGCTGGGCTTTTGGGGAATTTACTAGACATTTGGACCATTTGCAAAAAGTGAGAAGCACAGACAAAAAATAGTAGAAAAGTAGAAAGAGGCAAAAATGAATCTTAAAATCAATCAGCCACTACTTTGCAAAAGTCATTTAAAGTGCATTACATCCAGGCAATGATGTGTCAGTGCAGTGATAAAGTCATTTTGTTTTTAGAGTTTCAGCGCAAAGTTGGAAATAATGCTGACGGGGCACAAATTATCAAATGCACCAGCTTGATTGCAAGCTGTCCACCAAGGTCAGGAAAGTAAAAAAAATATTAAGCTTGCATTTGTGGAACTTGTTAAAGGCCTGATCTCTTCGAGCTGTCTGATTCATAATTTATAGGGACTTTAAATTACTCAGTGGCAGCACTTCAAAGGTAGCCAAGAAGGTGTCCATAATATGAATCTTTTCTAATGTGAGCGTGAACCACTGGTAACAAAGTAATCGTTAATCCTGTGTGAAAAAAAATAAATCTTAATATCACTTCTATAAAATCACCCCAGTGTGCATGGCTTAACTGCATCCCATTCAATAGAAGTAGAATATGTTTTATTAAAATGTGTATTTCCATAAAATAAAGCAAGTATAGGCCTAGAGGTAAGTTAAATACTTTTACACCAAGATCTTAAAGGCTCACATCACTCACGAATATTATTACTGCACTCCGGAGCTTTTTTAGATTTCAAGAGGAAGCATTATATGTCCCTCTAGGAAATGTGTGCACAGGGAAATAGCACTGTCTCCTCAATGGGCCTTTTCAAGTACTTCCTGGGGAAAGGCTGGACCACTCTGATACATTGTGTCCCCTCAGCGCACACTCCATCATTGCGCAGAGTTTCCTCAGCCTTAACGAGTGACTTAACGAGTGTTTTTAAAAGCAGAGTTTTCTTCTGTCTTTATAGCTCTCTAAAAATATATGGACTTATCTTACGTTTGATTATTAGTCTTTCTAATTAATCACTTACACAGGATTTATGAGTTTAAACGCAGGTGGTGCGGTGCAGGCACATTTCCGTGTTAGAGAGACATTGGAAATAGTGCTGTGCTATACTGCAAATTGTAGTATCGATTGGATACAGAGTAAATACAGGGCCAATACTGCCACCAGTGACCTTTAAAGGCAGTTTATGTATGGGAGAGCAGTGCGTCATGATCCAATACCAATACTAGCGTTGGTATCGACACTATTGATATTTGTATTGATGCATCAGACAAATCCATTACCAAAAACCAGCATGCTCACATGCATAATCAGTCAGGTTGGATAAATTTATCTCAACCATATACAGTGTGATGTAGTTGTCATGTAGAAAAAGGATAACAAGATGCCTGGCCTTGGTTTAGAGGGTATTAACTGAGTAAATGTCAACGAAATCCAAGCTGCTTGTTTAAATTAATGTAATTATTCTAAATAAAAAAAATATGGTGAGCTTGAGCCATGAAACACGTCAGGGATGAAACACTAGTGTCTAACTTAAAAAAAAAGAGAGAGAGGTTGGGATGAGGGGGGCTTAATTGTACACTCCTTTCATTTGCTTTCTTTATATAACAGGATCAGGCAGATGGTGTTTGGGTAACACCAGCCTTACATGACTTCCCTCCACTCCCAGTTGTTCATAATCATCGCTGTTAGGAATTGCCACCACAGTATTAGTGTAACCACGCAGGTGTAAACAAACCTTAAACGCTGCAACACTTGATCTGCGGGGGGAAAAGAGCAAAAAAAAAAAAAAGCAAGAACGCGGATATCCTGTGAGATTTATGGGAATCTGTAAAGCACACGTTGTGAAAAAATTTTTATGCACTCAAATATACTTTAACTGACTTTTGGAATATTATAAAGAACCGTCCAAGTGCGCATGTGATGCTGTTTCTAGCGCACTCCGCATTGTAGCAGTAAGCTGCCCCCCCTCCTCACCAGCACCATAAAGCAACATTAACGAGCTTGCCAGCAGAGTTGGCGCTCTGCAAATATTGGAGCGTGCGTGCGCGCGCGCCCTAGCAGTGGCAGCGGTGTACAGTAGCATGGCAGACTGCAGTAAATACAGTGTTGAAGAGGCGGGGTTTGACATCTCCGCTCTGAAAACATCTCTAATCCAGTATTTCAGGTGGCCAAGTCGACCGAGCGAACCATTGCTCACTACCGCCGCGCTTCAGAGAACTGCAGCACAAACGCACGCCTCCTCCAGCCGGAGTGTACCGCGAGTGGACAGACGGGGCTGGTGTGTATCCGAAGTGGAAACTCGCCGTAGGAGAAGAAAACAGAGAAAAAGCCGGAGAGGGAGAGAGAAGTTTAAGCGACGCGAGGCAACACTTTACTTGTCTGGGCGGTGTTTTAGTTCCCAGCGTCTCCCCGTTTGAAGAACATAGTAAGCAGAGACTCATTCGGCTTTTCGGCGAAACTCAACCAAAAGAAAAAAATTACTTCCAACTCTTGTTCAGCGAACTCTAAAAAGGATATTGCGGCACTTTTTGTTGTCATTATTCAGCCACAGGTAAGCGTCAGCTGAAGTTTGACAAATGTACTTGTCTTTCCTTGTTTATGTTTGTGGCAGTACGTGGGGGCGGAAGCTCTACCTGGAACTCAGGTAAGTCGGAAACCAGGTAGGCCTAGCGTTAGTTAGGCTAGCTTTAGTTAGCATAACTTGCTATAAAAATATAGGTGTGGAAATTGTTTAGAAGTTTAGTAGAGTTTATTTGTCGTTTTTATTTTTTGACTGTTTATTTTATTCAGTTTATTATTATTATTTATGGGCCTTGAAATAGGCTCACTGTGAACAGTGAGCTGTGAGTGAGGCTATGAATCGGTCATTAAATATTATAAAATGTAGCATAAGGTCACGGAAGCTGGCGTGACGTTTTTAGTGTTGGAATGCTTTATTTCGTGACACACACACACGCGCGTTATGTCAGCTTTTCTGTCACACAGTGTGCTATCAGAGGATGTCTCATCACTTTTTATTGCGTGTGGAAAGGTTTCATGTTGCGCAATCATGTACACTTTTGTTTATATCTACAGGAAAAAATTGCTGCTAGTCTGGTTTTTGTTGTTTTTGTTTTGTTTTTTTTGGGGGGGGGAATCAGATCTGTTGTAACAGAACTTCTCTTATGTGGCACCAGTAGACTGGTTTTTCCCCTCTAAACTCATGATAAGACCCTCATCCCGACGAGCCCAGTCCCTTAAGCACAGTGATGATGAGGCGATGAGATCATCAACCCTTTAGACATCTTGCTCACTCAGCCTTCACATTGATGCAAGTGGAACATTTCCTTAAGGACAAAGATGGTGAAATAAACATAAAGGCATGCCGACGAACCAGTTTTTGACGCTGGGCCTTCTGCCACGTCTTTGTGTGCAAGTACATTGAGCAAGAGTACTTGGAAAAACGTGAGCTTTTGAGAAGTACTGTTTACTAATGTGCTGTGTCTTCATCAGCTTTTTAGAAAGATGGTGTGTGATGATAAGCTACTAACCCAGAGGTCTGCCACTTCAGGTTTAGCTTTAAAAGTTTTTTCTTTATGCATTTAAAAAAAAAAAGTTGCAGAAAAAAAAAGATAAATTGGGGGCAGGGTCATGATCATGCTTGATGTTTCTTGGCTAGCTGTTGTCAAATGAGGGGCCATTAAGGAAGCAATTGTGAGAGCAGAAAGGCGGATGTTATATTTCAGTCAGATTCTATTCAGCTTTGGATCCTGGCTCTGTGCTTTTGTTCTTCCTTTTCCTCTGTTGGAAGCAGTAAGGAGTAATGGGTGACTCAGCGCGGTGTGGGTGACCTGTTCAGTTTCACAGGGTTGAACACGGGGACCGTGTGTTGGAACGCAGCAAGACTTTGAGCAGGAAGCCCACACAGGAAATGACCGCTGCATTGTTACCCATTCTTAAATCATGTCTGCAGTCTGCAGGGAATTTCAAGTGAAGTTTCACTGTTTTTTTTTTTTTTTTTTTGGGGTTTTTTTTTTTGGAGGGGGGAGGTATTTATTTTTTTGTTTGTTTTTTTGTAGAATAAACACACAGGGTCAAATTTATTGCTTGTTCTTGTACATGCATTGGCTGCTTGTTTATGAATCTGTTTCCTAGTTCTAACGCCTAATTAATTAAACCGACCGAGGGAAGAAATGTTGAATGCGTTCAGTTCAGGGAAATTTTAAATGTTGCTTTAAGAGTAGTTTATGAGGAAGAATTGTGATTCATCCTTACTCTATCAATATGAGTCAGACTTGGAACTTTGTATGACTTTACCAAAAGTGGAGAAGTTCATTTTCAAGTCTAAAAACAGACCCAGAAAATGGGAGTAATTGTCCACTTGTCAAAAGTCAATCTGTTCCAAGGAACGGCTCTAAATTCAGATATGGTTAACTTAACGCTAAAATAGATTTTACACCTGGCAGCCTTTATGAACCGCACTTTATAACAACAAACCCACTGCACTCTTTTACCTCGCTCAGCTATTTTTATTCACTTTATTTGGATCCACCCCTTTTCTTTCTAACATTAGTATTTCTATGTTAATCTAGCTCCACTATTCTTTAATTTAAAAAAAAAAGATCTCATTTTGCTGTCAGCCGGAAATGATTTTCACGTGTGGTTAAAGCACATTTAGAAAAGTGTCTGTGAAGGTGGGAAAGAGATGACGCATGTTATGGCTGTCATAGGATGCAGAGTAGGAGCCGGTGTGCGTGGCCCTGAAGTTATTTTTCTGAAGAGAAAGTTGAATATTTACGAGTTTCCTCTTTAACATATGCCATTAAAATGCATGACACGCAGCGAGAACACGTGTGCAGCAATTGCTTTTTCTACGTGATCTCCAGTAAGGAAAAAGCCATTCATCAACAGTGAGTCACAGCTGAGGAGTAACAGGAGGGAACACGCTCAGCTGTCATCTAGGTGTATAATGCACCAGCTTGACAGGGAGATGTATTGATCTGCATTTGAGAGGAAGGAGTTTCAGAGACGTTAAGCTGTATCGTACTCTGTGGCAGTTCATATTGTAAATTGTGAACGTGAATTAAGAATTAATCCTTACAGCCTTATTAATTAATAACGCTGTAATTTGGGCTTTTGAAAAAGCCGATGTGGAGAGAATTACAGACTTTCGCTACTGGGAACCCGAAAGTCGACCGTTCCAACAATATATACATCAGAAATCTTCTCTCTTTGTGTTGCTGCAATGATGCATTTCTATTTTTGTTTCTTGAAAAAAGTGACATAGTGTGACTCAATTTACCACAGATTGATTCATCAGCAGCTGCTGGCGTTGCCATATTAAGGAGATCAGTTGAATCATTGTTAATGGGGCTATCCATCAACTGATCACTAACTCATAAATTATAGCATCTGACTCTCCACTCCGTCACCCCAAATTTGGACACATTTTACAGATCCTCCAGGCTCGTCAAAGCTGCCACTGCACAACATGCTCTTTGGCTGACTGCTTGAAGGTGCTAGCCTTAGCATTTTCCATATGACAAGGGGAGAAGGGAGTCATTCCTGGTCCTTGTTTGACAAGTCTGAGCCAGTCTTTGTTTACAAAGGAAGACTGGACTTCCTGCAGTTGTGCCCCTTGGTGAAAAAAAGAAATGACTGCTTTTGTTTGGCTCTTGTTTTTGGCTCAATGCTGCATCTCTGACAACTTTTCCATAGTACATTGAAAATCATTGCTGCTGTTGTTTTTTATGGATAACTATTTTATCTAGTAACAATGTTTTCCAATGCAATATTTCTCCTTTTAAATGGCTGTAAGTCAAGGATGTTGCATAACCACATGGATAACTAAACTCGAGATTAGAAAGCAGTTTTTAAAAACAATTATTTATATAATCTGTTCCTAAGTGTTTATTACTTCGATGTTGTTTAAACAGGAGCTTTACTGACCTCACCAAATTCTTTGTAAAGACTGTAGTGTCAGCAGATGAGATGTTTTAAGATACTACTGTTCATGTGTTCAGCTGCTAGTGAGGGGAGGGGCTGTGTGTCAGCTGGAGGAGGCAAAGTACTGCTGGTATGAATACTGTTTCAAATGAGTATGTAATCCATTTTTATTGACAACCCTATTCAGTTATCATGCTTTAGGTAACTACAATATTGTAAAAAGCAAGTACCTTTTGAGTTTTAAAAATGTTGGTATAATAGGTATTGTAAATATCAGTTCTGGTGATATACCTAAATATAAGATGTAAACATATACTTAAGGATATTTCATGTGTAAAGTAGGATCTGATTGATTATTTATTTTCTGCAGTTTTAAGCGCTGCTGTGTAAACTAATGTTTCCCTTTTATGTACTTTACCTCAGTGGAACTTTGGCACTACGTTTGGCCACAGGTGTGACCTAATTTCCACTTATCAAAGATACTTTGCTGCATGTGATTGAACTCTGCTTCACCTGTGTGTATGTGTGTGAGAGCGCAATTGCTGGTTAATTTTTAAACATAGCCTTTTGTTATCTTTAATCACCAATGTTTTGTTTTAATTACGAGAGGTAATTCAAAGAGAACTCGAGGGAGCTACTTGCTCACAAGGCAGAAACTGGAGGTCAACACGACTGTGTTTTAAAGTGAAGTCAGGCGGTTTTGTGGACTATGTTGTTGGGATCGAAGCAGAAAAGGGAAAATAAGAGAAATATGGTGTAATTCTCCACTTAGAGTTGAAAGCAAAGGGTGTCAACAGCCGTCTTGGCTTACTACTCAGTGATGTAAACTTGGCTTATGGACAATTTTGCCGCTGGCCAGATTCGTTTCCTCCACCTAGGTCTGTAAACAAGAAAGCACATATTTCATATGGCTGCTGTTAGTTGAAATTGATTGTGGGGGATCTGTTTTCAATTTTAAAATAGGTATTTTATCATTAATATCACATAACAGAAGAAGATGAAATACAGCAAGAATGTCAGCAGAGTCATCTGTGCAGGCAGTGTGCTTCTCTCTTTGCTTTCTCGTCACTCTTCTTGGTCCGTGTTTACACGTTAGGCACAGTATGTGCTACTTTAACCTTTCAGGATTGTAGCATAGCCAACCCTTGTCTAAAAATGTGCACGTATCCTGTAGTGCCGACACTATGCGGTCTCTGTCACCTGATGTTTTCTGATTTCCTGCTTTTATTTTATTTTATATCCATTAATCCCCTCATAACAAACAAAAGAATAACAGTAATGTTAATTAATTATTGTTAAATAAAGGCGGTGGTTATAAATTCTGCCTGCTTAACTTAAGCCAGACAGCAAAATGTTGATCTTACAATCGTCACAACATTACTGAAGTGTACTTGCTGTCAGTTTTGCTCCTAGAAATGATGGTTTAACATAACTGAGCTTGACAGTTTTTTCCAAATGGACCAATATAATGCAATAACATTCATAGGACCAGAAAGACAGAGCCATATTTACTCATGCTGTTGTCAGCAGTGTCTCAATACAGCACATGCTTCAGCTTCTTTCTCTGTTACATCAGTTTGACATTGAATAATGTAGACAAGGGTTGGGATTGTTTTTGCATTCTGCTAAATGGGTATGGGTGAGACGATAGCCGGATATGTTTGATGCTTGCGTATTATTCCCTGAAAACAGGAATAAATGTACCAGTTCCTAATTAACAGAATCAATAAATGTATAATGGATTAGTAGAGTGCTCGGCCTCTGTCGTCTAAGGTGTAGGTGATTAATTTAATTGTTTTTCCATTTCATCACATGATCACAAACTTGATGTCCTTGTACAGACTTGTCCCGACTTGTGATGTCATCGGCAAAGGTGGGTTTTCCATTTGCCAGTCCAGCCCTGAAGCAAATCCGAAAACAGCAGCTCTTAAGAAACTCTGAGCTTAAGTGATTGCTTTGGAATGCTGTTGCCAAGGAGCCCAGTTGCAAAGTACAACGGCAGAGACATTTGTGCATTTAGTCAGAGCATGTGAAGATGACTGTAAAATACAAAACTGCAGCTTACAAACTTAGATTCTGCATCGAACTGCGTTGTTGCAATGTCATCATACATCGAGGATTCCTAAAATACCACGATGGCAATGTTGTCCTGCAAGTTTCAGCCGAAACTTTTCAGTGGTTCTGGCGACTGTCACAAGAGGGAAGTTTCATTGTTTGTTCTAAGTAGGGCAGTTTTTTCTTCTTCTTCTTACTCTGAATAACAAAATGTTTGAGGTTTATTCTTTGCGACTATTTTTTGGGTCTTGGGGACTAAAATTGGATGAGTCACTGTTGCACATTGTTGCTTCTTTGTACTTTTTGGTACTGGAACAATGAGAACAATGTGAGATATGTAAAGTTACAAGGACATGTCCTGTTACCATTTAAAATGCTACCATGTGAAAATCCCAATAAAGACATCACAACTGAAAGGTTTTGACTGTATGCTGACCTCTTTGGCCATTCACTGATATTAACACCCCCCACTGACTTGTTCAGCATAAACACAGACACTTTTAAGAGGTTTGCTGGATGAATGTGTTCCGGCCAAGATGCACTTTCCCTCCAGATTTTGTTGGTGTAGCTCAGTTTATTGCATCTTCAATTGTTTGTTAAAATGCTCACTACAGCTCAACTCATGGTGGAAAAAAAAATAGGTCAGGGCAGTCTTTCTTTGTAGCTGATTTTATAAAAAGCGTGACGGGGCCAGACAAAGTAAGAAAAAAATGGGACGGAATAGAAACTTGGAGCAGCATTATATGGGTTTTTAGAAATGTCAGGCCACAAATAGCTGACTAGCAGTTTCAGACTGAGCTCTCCTCTGGAGTTACAGCTGCCCACGTTGTTTAAAATTCATTTCAAACTATTTATTTCACTTCAGGTTCACACAGTTGCAATAAAGAGATTATGAAAATTTATCAGGATAACTGAGTTGCTAATTAAAGTTGGTCTGGTTTAAAGTCATAATTCTAGACAAGCACGGTATGACTGAACTAATTACCACACAAACAGTTGAATTTTTGTGTGTGTCTTTATTGGACACACTAATAACTGGCGGTGCAAGCTGAAAAAAGTAAAGTAGTTCTAGTTAATAGAACCTTTTGGTAGCACCAGACTCGGTTATTAATATTGCTGCTGCTAAACTTACACAACCATGTGAAGGAATTTTAGACCATTTGTCCTCCTGATCAAGGCCTTTCACATGGTTATTCCAAAACATGTTTTCTTTCTTTTTCCACCATTTAATTATAAATGTACTTGTTTGTGTTTGCAGTACACTATATATTCTTATATTTCTCCAGCTTCTTACATGCATAAGCGTCAGGTTATCGACATTATCTCTCTTTAAAAATACAAAATCAAATAAATAAAATCTTTATATCCTTCCTAAGATAGAAACGTAAGTCCACCGTGCCTCCACTATGCTTCAGACTGAAAAAGAGGTTTTTGGGTCCTCCAATCATGATGCTATTTATCCCAGACATGTGGAAAAGCCCATAAACCCATTCACTGGTTTTCTTTTTGTTGACACATGAGCAAAAATGTAAGCTTTGTAGAAATTTCTGCTGTTTTGCCAAAATAACAGGATTGCAAGTTGAGCTGAGTTTGAGCTTTGCTGGCTGCCTGCTCTACGGGAGAGTCCTCCAGTTTTAGACCGTGTGTCTCGGTGCTGATTGATGTACAGCCACGTCTTTAGAACTGCTTTTTCAGGCCTCTCTCCCCATATGTATTTTTAGCATTTATAAAGTGAAAGTTGTGATTGGTGTTTGCAAATAATGCCACAATCTTTGTATGCTTCTATTTCAACAGAGGTACCACTGCATCCCATAGTGAGAAGTCAGAAGTAGAGAAGTACGCAGAATTTATTCAGATGGGTCTTTTAACTATTGTTCGATTATGTTGAGTAGAGAAAGGGAAGTAGTTTTCTGGTTTCAAATTACCGTGTAAATTGAGGACCTTAATTAAAGTCCAGTAACAAGATGGCAAATTAAACTGATCTGTTGCTTTGGATTCTGGTCCCTTATTTTTTTCTATTTAATATGATGTTGGATTATTAATTGGATGAAACATTAACCAATTAACTGACACTGACAAGAGTTAATCCCCTCCAGTGAAAGTGATACATACTGGGGAAGTGATGTTCTGCGTCAGTATTAGAGGGGGGGAAAAAAATCCAGTGTTTCCTCTAAGCTCGCTTCCTGTCTGATGATAGCTCTTTGCACAATTGTCACCATCGCCCCTCCCTTTTTTCTTTTTCTTTTAAGTGTCTTTCTTTTGTCTATACTGTAGAAAATTTGAAAATTCATAATTCTTAATTTTTCTGCCTTTTAAATGAAGTACAGGCTGCAGCCTAGTGAGCTGTAACTCCTACGTGTGTGTTGGCTCTCTGTCTGTATTGTTTAGGAAATAATAAATTTGTCTGAATGTTAATGTGAAACCAAAGTTAGTGCCATCTTTAGTTTGACACGCCTCCAGTGCAAAGGGTGGCTGTAAAAGTTAATATATAAGCTTTCCTGACATGTATAAACAGTCAGGTTTGACCTCAATTTGGAGGTACACGACTGAAATTTCACATGTGACTTCCTGTGGTATTGTTTTGAATCACTCATCCAGTGCAGTAGTGTTAAATGTATGTTAAAGCAGCAAGGCATAATGGATAAAAAGCAGCAAACCACATTAGCTGTTAACGTGTTTTTAAATCTAGTTCTCTTTTTGTTTTTTCTTACACAGCCCGGTCGTGTTTGCTGTCTAACCTTTCGACGTGTGAACTTCTGAGCGGGAACAAGGGAAGAGTCGCCAGGACCATGTGGCAGGATTTTCTTATAGGTGTCAACAATTTGTTCTGAAGCTGTTATGAAGTTTTGACCACAAACAGCACAAGATGTTTGAAATGCGTCCCTTCGTGTTGAGAATGCATCATATTAGATCACTGGTTAACAAAGGCCGGCCAAAAAGAAGAGTTGGATTGTAATTTTTTTTTTTGTGTGTATGTGTGCGTTTGTGCGCACATGTGTGTTTATTTTTCAATTTTTAATACAGAAGATTTTTAAGTAATTGGCACGATATAAGGACCTTTTCCTTGAGCTGCAGACATAGACTGGACTCCCATGTATAGCAGAGCAGCCGCTGCAGCTTGTGGAATAACTTAGCTTCAGACTGTTGGACAGCTGCTTCTTCAGGGCTCCGGGGATCTGATCTAAGCATCCACCCACCGTGTCATCTGACTATTTCACCTGTACTAAGGCAACCCTACTAACCAATGGCATGGGTCAAGTTCTTCAGGAAGCCAGGGGGCAATCTGGGGAAATCCTACCAGCCGGGGAGCATGCTGTCTCTGGCCCCCACCAAAGGACTGCTCAACGAGCCTGGCCAGAACAGCTGTTTCCTCAACAGTGCTGTGCAGGTTTGTTGACACCTCATGAACATTTTTATGTAAAAACTGCACAAAAATGGCGGTCACTGCTTCTAACCGGTCCTCCAAACTTCTTCAATTTATTTGCTGCTTGTATAACTTTATTTATTGCAGCCCCCCTCTGGGAACATGTTCCACCCTCTTGAAAAAATAACCATTATTCATTTGGAAATTGCAAAGCTTAGTCACTGTCTGTATTTGTCAGAGCTTCCCAGCTATTTATTCATTCTGGATGGTTAGTTTTGTTTTTTTTCTTGTGGGGTACTGGCTGGTGAGTTAGTTCATTATATCAGCCAACGCGCAGTGAGGTCAGCATCGGACGGTCTTACTCAGAGGGTGTGTGAGACAACCGATGAGCTGGTCGAAGATGATCATTACTTTCGGCTTTGTTTCTGTGAGGGAGTTGTTCTCTCACCCACTCCTCGTTGTTATGACCTTGGAGAGTTTATTATTGTAGCATGCCTGCATGTTATGAGCAACTAAAAAGATGTTAAGTTTCATAATGGGGGAAAAATGTGAATCTTTTCTTAATGATTATTTTGTAAATAGGCAGATTGGTACAGAAAATCTATATATTTGAAGTGCATATGAATGTGTTTGCTTGACTGCTTTATCTTGTAAGTAAGAGATATGCCCAACATCTTATGGTGTAAGGGCAGCCTCACGAGCTTCTGCTCTATCCCTTGTGTAGGTACTATGGCATCTGGACATCTTCAGACGCAGCTTGAGGCAGCTGCCTGGACACTTCTGTCTGGGAGAGTCGTGCATTTTTTGTGCATTAAAGGTAAGATGCGATCATAAGCCTATTTAATAAGAGCTGACACTTTAAAGTAACCGTGCAGCTCCTGTTTGTCAGCATGAATGTGTAGAGCATCTGCTCTCATATTCAGACTGTGCATTGAGCGGTAAATGTGACACAAATGCTTTCTGTAAACACAATATGCCGTTGTCAGGGTGTAAACAAGTTCTTGCTCTCTTCTTCAGGGTATTTTCACCCAGTTCCAGCACAGTCGGGAGCGAGCCCTGCCCTCTGACAACCTGCGTCACGCCTTGGCGGAGACCTTTAAGGACGAGCAGCGCTTCCAGCTGGGCTTCATGGATGATGCCGCAGAGTGCTTTGTAAGTTCCTGTGGCAACACTATGGCGGGAGGGATTCGTGTATGTTTGTGTGTTATCCTGCCGCACAGCTCAAGCGAAGCACTGCCATGAAACTGTTCGGCGAGGTCACTGAAACAGCTTCTGTCCCTCCCATCAACCCCAGCCACATAGGCGCTGAATATCATCATGACAGCTTATATAAGTACCAGAGTTGTGTTTGAACCGCTTTTTTTATCTGCTGCCATAGTATGGCACATGAGCTTTTGAAGAATCACTTTCATATGGTCTTTATCGTTCTAGCATATTGCTTTCAGTTTTTCTGCTCTTTTACCACTTTAAAAAAATATTTTCAACTAGTCTAATTATTTTTGTCCCAGTTTTACTATGACTCCAGCCAAAAAGGAAAGGTCCTGTTACCCTGCTTTTAATTTGTTTAAAAAGTTTTACTTTGTCAATCACGTTTGGTTAGTGAATTTTTTCTCTTACAATGTTGATATCTTGTGCCTGTAAACTGTACACCAAAATGGCACAGATGTATCCTGATTTATTTATTTTTTTGTTCCCCTCCCCACGCAACGGTTGTTTATCTATTTAGGAAGTGCAATTACACAGAAATGGAATAAACAAAAGAGGGAATCTGGCGAATACAACGGGGGGATGAGTGTACTCGTGCACATTGGGCTGTACAAGTGTGATTTTTGTCACTTTGCTTCTCCTATAAGTTACAGATCAACCTACCACATGATGAGGTGTTATGTAGAAAACCATATAAACTATATGAATAGTTAAGAAAAAATGGCACATGGGCAGTTGTCTGAAAAATAGTTGGCAAACTATTCCGTTACGAGATGTTCTACCTGCTATTTTGTATTTCAACTAACTACAAAGTTGGCTGGCTGAGGGGGGGAGATCCCAGAAACACTTACAGAAGTAGATATGTAAAGGAGTATGTCCACTTTTGTGTAAGTAATTAAAAGTTTTTGAGAATTCCAATAAATTTCTCTAATTTAAAAATATTTTTATGGATGCATTATGAGGACTAAAAAGGATGATTGTTGGGCTTATTATCAGCACGTGGTTCAGAGTTAGTCAGCATCTGTGATCACACGGGGGTCATCAGTGCACATACTAACGAAATGTAACATGCTGCCATCCAGACGTCTTTCTCAGAGACTCGTTAACTTATTTCAGCAGCACAAAAACCACCACTTGTGCTTTTTCTAGTGGTAAAAGAGTCTGGTTAATAGAGTGGCTTGTCTTGAGGCCAAACATGTTCCCATTAAAAATATTTGGTACGTTATGAAACGGAAAGACAAAGGAGGCCCTGAACTCTTTAGAAGCTTAAAGCCAGTGTCAAGCCAAAATGCAAAACCCCCTTCTTGGTTTTTCTTTTTTTTCCCTTGGCTTTCATCTGCTACAGCAGTTGCTCTCCTTAGTTCCCAAACATGTACAGGGTGTTGTTAAAAGATATGATGCTCTATCTGAACTGTTGGTATCTTATTCAAAATATTTTCATGTTTTCATAGTTACAACGTTTGATGTTTTGCATTTGACTGCTTTACATCATTTAAATGATCTGCAGATTTTTATCTACGTTTTAAATCATGTCCCTACTTTTTCAGAAGAGGGATTGTTAAACTGAAATTCCAAAGTTTTCTTTGTCTCATGTGGACGTACCATTTCTTAATACCGCGCAGATCTTTGCCCTTGAGCGTTTTCTCTCTAAAGCATTGGCAGCAGTGTGCTGGCAGAGAATTTATGTGAGGAGTTGGCTAGTGTCAGATTAACAGCCTGTGAAGTATAGCCTGTAACCTTTGCAGGCCTACCTCACAGCCTTAATATTTCATAAACTCACAAGCGTTAGAACCAGGAAGGAGCTAAAACGGAGTGGAGCTTCTTCTTTTAACGTGCTCCTTCTGCTGCAAGGTTTACAACACGACTGCTAAAATTGAAGTTTCTGTATAATATGGGCCATATATTTTATTACACTGCAATCTTTGTCTTGGAAATCGCTGAATTGGAGAGAAACTATAGGCTGTGTGGAATGTTCCCCCTCACCACCACCAGCCCCATACCTGACAGTTTTCCTGTCCTGTCACAGGAAAACATACTGGAGAGGATCCACCTGCACATTGTGCCTGAGGAGACAGATGCCTGCACTTCAAACTCTTGCATCACACATCAGAAGTTCGCCATGTCACTTTATGAACAGGTCAGTAAGAGGCTAGGAAGTAATAATAAATATTATATTCCCTGGAAGCTTGCTTGTTTATTCTGGCTTATCTAAGCACGAGTTGGTTATATTAATTTTGTGTCTTCACTTTGTGTGTGTGTGTGTTTTAGTTTGTTTAATCTTTGTTTGCACAGTCTCTACTGTGTTGAGTGGAAAAGCCAGACACACTAGACAGTGTTAGGATTAAGCGACATGCGCACACAGGTATTAATCACCGTCTGAGACAATAGAAATCCAATCAGTCATGTTTTGATACTGGCTCGCCCCCAGTGAAATATAGAGGGTGTTTCTGGTCAGGAGAGTACACATAAATTCCACCTCGGCGCAACACAGACACACAAACACACAAACACAAGACTCTTCCCCGTGGCTCTGATGCCCATCACTGTCTCTGTCCCGAACCAGTTCTATCTGTGAATCTAACAAATAATACGCCTTTGGACTAAATCCCTCAGGAGCAGAGTCGGTGGATTTGGTTCCACCTCGACTTCAGGGCACCCTATCCTGCAAATATTATAAAGGCCCAAATGAGCATTGCCTCCCTCAAACAGAGGCCTGAAATCGTACGCCTGATAATGTCAGTTGTCTGACTTAAAAGGATACTGGAGAGCTCGGAGTTTATATGTGATCACAGGGAAATAAGCCAAAAATCAAAGAACTGGTTTTGTCCCATTTCTGGAAAGTGACTCTCTGATATGCTAACCAGTCATATGCAGTGCTTACGTTTGCGAAATCACATGTGCACTTATTATTTCGTTAATTTGTTGGTAACTTCTATCCTTTTGTTTGTCGCCCACGTTGGTCACTCTCTCCTCTCTCTTCTGCAGTGTGTGTGCCGTAGCTGTGGGGCATCTTCTGACCCACTGCCGTTTACAGAGCTGGTGCATTATGTCTCCACCACCGCACTCTGGTAAGCCAAAGACAGTATGTAACCTCCTTTAGCACCCTTTTGTCATTTGTCTTGCTCCACACTCTCTTTCAATTATCACAAGGTCAGAACTCTGATTTCTTTTGCTGACTGCGGCATTTCAAAAGTGTGTTTGTCTCTGAGCGTGCCTTATCTTTATTTGTCTCTGCTTGTTCTTTCCTATAGTTCTGCTGACAATGTGCTGTTTACACTGCCTTCTTTCTCAGTCAACAGACGCCTCAGCGGAGAGATGAGTCTTTTGGGGACGTGTTAAAAGCAGCGAGTACGATCGGGGACCTTCGTAACTGTCCAGTAAGTGACCCTTCCAGAGTTTTACTGAAGCATTTACACCCAAAAATGACATTGATGTTGCGTGAAAGAGCAATCTGGAAAACATCAACTTTGTTGACTGGCCTCGCTGCTACTTAGTACACCCAGTACATATCATATTTCATAAAATGGCCATTACTGAAGTGTGAGAAAGATTATAAGAAAGTTAAAATGTCAACATTATTCAGTCTTAGCATCGTTTGACACATTTGGCCAGATGCCATGATTCTTTGGCTCAAACTGGTTGCGTGTAACTCGATAGCATTTAAATTACAAACCTTCTAGTACAAAAAAAATCTTATCTTGCCTTATTTAACCAGCAAAATTAATCATTTTTTTCAGTAAAATGTGTGATTTAAGGGCACTCTTTCCAATTAGTACATTTTCTTTCTACTTTCTAACCAGCTGAACTTGTTTTTGTTGTCTTTATCTATGCGTCTCTCTCTCTTTTTGCCAGAGCAACTGTGGCCAGAAGATCAGGATCAGACGAGTCCTCATGAACTCCCCAGAAATTGTCACCATAGGCTTTGTGTGGGACTCCGACCAGTCGGACCTCACTGAGGATGTTATCCGCTCACTAGGGCCTGTTCTCAATCTTTCCTCGGTGAGCAATCTCATGCATTAGTTTCTATATCCTACACATTATGACGTTTTACTGGATTAATCTGAGTATTCAGAGATTTTATTGAATGTGTCAGTATATTTGTGAATTATTATTTATACAACTGTTACACAAGCAGTGCCTCTTGCCCTGCTGTTTTGATGTTGTTGTTGTTGTTGTTGTTGTTTTTTTTTTTTTGTGCAATTCAACATATGTGGGAAATAAAGTAGGGATTTATTTCTCTGTAAATCGGGGTAGTTGCGTAAGCCGTCAACTCCCAATGCCCAGTTGGCCCATGCCACTGATCAAAAAGCCCCTGCTGGCCTTGGTCAGCTTGTCAAAAAGCCCCTCCTCTCATCTTTGTGTGTCTGTGTGTGTGCGTGGATCCCTTCCTAAGCGAACATGTCAACTAAATGGATACCACTGAGATGGGGGGGTTCAGCACAACTTTGTTTTTGTTTTTATGTTTTTTAATTTATATTCATATATTCTTAATCACAAGTATGCACAGCTGGAGTGATGTTGTCTTTTTTTTTCTCATAAAAGTCTGCTTTCTGTTTATGTACATAGATCATTTTCAGCCATGTTCACAGTAAACATAAACTATAGTGACACATTACTTAATATGTGCTTGTTAGTGTTTACATCCAACACACGTGGATGAGTTCCACAAGCCAGAGTCGATCAGTGGAGTTGATGTGAGGACGTGCTCATACGAATTACACCTTACATAACTTTGATTTATTTATTTATCTTTTTATTTTGGATTGAAGCGTTTCAGCCACTCGTTTTACGACTCAGACAAAATTAGGACATGGGAAGAATTTTCAGTCTCACCCACCCGCTAATGTGCCACAAAGGCTTTTATTCATTGGGGAGTCACATTTCATGTGACTTTATTGGGCGTTAAAAGGGAGCTTACTGCCACCATCATTTGCTTTGAAATCCATTGTTTGTGTGAGTGAGTGAGAGCCGGAGAACTGGCTGTACAAGAATCATGGGAGGGACAAACAAGTCACACTTTGTATCATTTGAAAATAACACAGCATAGTACTAGGTTACCCCTGTAGCCAGGATGGAAAGATATGCTGCCCCTGCAGTGATTCAAACCAGCCTGTACTTGTACTGATTACCGAATCAATGCTAGTTCATTCCCTCAGACCTTAATCTGTAAACAAATGGAGTAACTGACGCTGCTAGCTCTCTGCATCATTTAGCTGCCTTCCAACTTACTTTGGTGGTGATTTAACTGTGTAATTGATGCATTTGTGTGTGTGTGTGTGTGTGTATACACAGCTCTTCTACAGGGTGACAGATGAGCATGCCAAAAAGGGAGAGCTGATGCTCGTGGGAATGATCTGCTACTCCAGCCGTCACTACTGTGCCTTCACCTTCCACACCAAATCTGCCAAATGGGTCTTCTTTGATGACGCAACAGTCAAAGAGGTGAGAGAGCGTGCACTAGTGCTCAAGTCATGTTAAATGAGTCACATGTGAAAATAAGAAACATATTTATTATAATAGCAAGGAAGTTGTACAGCACACATATGAAAAGTCTTTTTTTTTCCTTCCTTGTGGTATTTTTAGATGTTAGAATAGAATTAGTGCAAGCTTTTTCTAAAGAAGAAAAAAAATCCGAGTTTGGGATTCATGTTATCACTGAACAGATAAGCAGAAGCTGCTACAGACGAGACCGAATGTTCAGTCTCTTATCTCTGTTACAAAGACTTTTTATCATCCAATAAGGACCACATTGATTGCGCTTCATGAGCCTCTGGTTTGATGAGCCTTTATGGCAGCGAGGAGTCAGCCAAACTCCCAACTTCCTGCCTGATTTCTACTGCAAACACTCTACTCTGTAGTCTCAGAGCACTGCAGTAGTAAAGCACAGATAGCTAATAAAGACGTTTTTATTTTTTTTTTATGAAGCTGGGTAAAGTTTAAGGAGATGTGACAATGCTGCGTTACAATGTGTAGTGTGCATGATGTAGAAAGTGGGTTTTGTGTGTCTGTGTTCTGGTAGTTTGTTTGTGCACACTCACTTTTGAATCCTATCATCCTTTAGTTGTTTTTTCCCGTTAATGTTGGATTTATTTTCATGGTGTGTACATGCAAGCATGCCTTCTGTCTCACATCCTCACAATTTTCACGGGGACTGTGGTGCAGCGGCCGGCTGGCTCTGTGTCAATCCATCAGCAGCTTGTGCTGCGTGTGCAACCCCTCCCAACTGAGATGGAGGAGCTAGAGTACTCTGCGCCTGCCAAGTCCATACCTGGAATGAAACTTGCCAGTGTTTCTGTGACTCCCCAAGTCCCAGCCCCTTAATGACTGCTGCAGTGTAGCCCAATTACTGTGTTTCCATTGCATGAAATAAAATTGCACAAAATCCTAAGTGCAGTAACTCACTAGCTGTTCTGATCGGATGGTGGGTCATGGGTAGCTTAAAGACACTTGCATTAATCAGAACATGGCCGATGTTAATGCACTAGTGGTAAATGATATGTAACATTAGCAACAGATAAAGCTTTACTGGTTTTAGCTGAAGAGGTTGGAGATTGTTTTGAAGCTCACAGATATATCTGCTTTAACATTCATTTAAAGATTTTCTGAAAACTGGAGGGCAAAAAAATAGACTTTAAGAGAAAAAGCTGTAACAGAAAGGCAGATTTGGCCAAGAGTCTTAACCCTTAACATGTCTTTGGCCCTTTCAGATAAAAAATGTTGTGCCTCACCATTGAAAAGAGGATCCAAAAATCACACAGATGTGTCTCTGTTTTGCCTTGATCTAACATGCTTTGTCAATCACGGCTTGTCTTCCTCCTCTATATTGTATATGTGCACATTCCCCAAGTCAAAATCCTTTCCCCCTCTGTCTGTGTTCCTTTGAATTGGTTGCTCTTTACCTTGTTTTGCCATCTCTTCCACACCTGCTTTCTCTTTCTCCCCCCTCCCTCTACCCCCGTCATTTGCTTAATTAAGGAGCACAGAAGCATCTGTTAGCCTGCAGCCTGCCTTTGTGGTACCTTTGTGGAGAGACGCGCAACTTACACAGCTTTGCTAATGTGATTGTGTGCTTTGGCCTTAGTGTGTTATATTCACTCACAAATTAAAGCTACACCCCATTTTGTCACACATAGTCTGAAGTTGCATGTGAATTTTATATATATTTATACCCTTGAATGCATGTTGGTTCACTTTGTGCTATCACACATGAAGGTATAGTATTATACGGTATGCTAAAATGTGTTAATTGACCCTGCTTTTTTCTTCTTTTCTTCTTTGTTTCCTGGTGCAGATCGGCTCCCGGTGGAAAGATGTCGTCAGTAAATGTATCAAAGGTCACTTCCAGCCTCTTCTTCTTTTTTATGCCAATCAAAATGGGAGCGCTATCGCCACAGAAGATGCCTCAAAACAAAACAGCAGCCAGTCCCACAGCAAGAACCCCGTTAATGGAGAAGCGCAAGGTACGATGTTTTAAAAATAACCTCAGAGGTCATCATGCTGGCATTTAAAAGCCTCGTCATAGCAGTTTTATATCAGGTGTGATGATGTTGTTGATTGAGTGTCTTTTTGTGGAAATGACACCATCCAAACTCCCCTGTGTGTTTCTCTTTGATATTCCAACTGTCTTTTTCTCAGCATTCATTATGTGGTGTCACATCCCAAATGCCCCATTTGATTATAATGTCCCACCATTAAAAAAAAACAAGCAGCCATTAAAGTGAAGCTGATTGGTGCAGATGCCTGTCTTTTTAGTGCAGTGTTGGAGGCCAAGAAAAAGAAAATCTGAATGTTACTACTACCGCCTGGTCGAATGGCAAAGTGTAGCCAAAGTTTTCCGAGTGGTTTGTTTTGAAATGCAAATGTAGTCTCAAGTTTGAGGTGAATGTTTGCTGTGGGGTTTGAAGTGTGGCTTATTTGCCTCTGTAAACCTTTAGCTTGAGTTGAGCACTAAATCTTTCATGGAAATGTATTTTTTTAAATTTTTTTTACTACTTAAAATTCTCACACAGCCGGCTGTTTAGTTGAAAAATTTCCATACTCCCTCCGAGTACATTAAAGTAACAAAATTAAAATGTAAAATTTAAATCAGAAGTCGGGGGGGAAAAATAAGGAAAAAAACCTCCCAAATCAAATGCACTGTTTGCCTTTGCCGCTGCTGATGTGAACAGCTGAACATCTCTCCTGTTGGGATTACATATCCCTGGATTTGTGTGGTTGGGGAGGTTTTTATCCCTTTTAAAGACCCTCCTCCAGCCCTCCACGCTGGCTGTGCCCCAGGTCCAGGCTGTGGCAAGCGCTCACTGTCCGTCAGAGCTGACAGGGCGCCCGACTAAACTGGATCATCCTCCAAAAATCAAGAAGTAGTACACAGTGTGGATCTTGTAATTGAATTCTGTGTTGTAGTTTCAGGTAAAATTAGTTTTTTTTTTTTTTTTTGATCTTCACTCAACAGGATTTTTTTTTTCTTCATGGGAAGGACACGCCTACATGCATGGCCTTACCTTTAAAACATTTTTCCTTTCTTTCTAGTCACTGAGTCCCAAGTTTCAGTCTCCCCCAGAAAACTGGACCTCACCAGAGAGAACCTGAATGCTCTGCTGGGCCAGGATCTTTTCAAGAAAACCCCTTCAATCCTCAGCAGGGGCAGCACTCAGACCAGTGGAGGACGGGGAACAGGTAAAGGGGGGGAACGAATATGGAGGGATTAAGCAGCTTTTTTTTTTAATTTCATTTTTGCCTCTATTACAAATTAAATCTAATTATTAGCAGCGCAAACCAACCTGCTACAAACTGCTACACTTTGCTATGTAACCTGTGTAAACCTAGTTTATGGTTTACACACAAATGTTTTGATGTGAATAAGAAGAGATGCAAACAGAGAGGTGAGTCATGTTGTGTGGCAGTTTTTCAGCCTTGAAAAGACTCCTTAATTCATAAATATTTTGTCCTCGGAGAGTGGTGACAAGCACAGATCTGGAACAGCAGCTAGCGGAAGAGATAATTAAATGTCTTTGCTCCGAAACTAAATCTGGCCATGCTAGTAATACAGAAGGGATTAGAGACCCTTAGTGAGGAGAGAGAGAGGTCATTATGCACATGCTTAATTGCAAGCAGAGGGGAGAGTGAATTGAGAAGAGGAGTTATTTATGCGATTTAACGGCGTCTTCTTTGATATCCTTGTACATTCTGCTGGTATGAAGTTGTTCGTGTCCTTGAACAGATCACTATGGGAGGGGATGCTGCAAGACAATGAAATGTCAGCAGCTGCTGCAGTTTTAAGGAGTAGCAGAGTCAAATTTATCAAACTGATTCATCGTGTGGTTAAACTGCTACACTTCCTGCTTTGCGGAATGTGTGGAATCTCAAAAACATCCGCCGCTTTTTTTTCTTTTCTTTTTATTAAACGAATAAAAAATCTGGAATGATATGAATGTTTTGTTTCCTTTTTGTTCTGTTTTTCTGAGATGCCACCTCGTCCTCGCTCGCTTCCTTTTAAAATCTCACATGGTTAACAGCATTATTCCAGGGCCAATCGTTGCTTTAAAGAAAGTGTGGGGCCAGAGATGCAGCGCCAGCCTCTGCATGGCCGTGTTTCCTCCCCGCTGCCTTTCCTCTCCCATCAGCACAGCAATGTGCCGTAAAGTTCGCCTGTGTCTACACACTCAGCAGCTGCTCAGTGCCTCGGGGGTGCCGGGGACGAAGAGCGACAAGGAAAAGGATGTAGCGGTGATAGATGTATCTATGCACACGGGGATAAAAATACTTTAATGGTGGGAATCTCCACCTGATTCAGCAAATGCCCCGTCGCTACTTTATTTTTATTTCTTTTAAGGGTCAGCGTTATTCAAGTGCTGGCTATATAACCTCGTCACACAGTGAGGGGGGGAAAAAATGTCTCAGATACCTTTCTTGTCTTTTCTTGTTTCTTAGTGAAAAGCAATCACAAGAGCCGCCTTAGGGAGATTTCTCGTGAAGTTGCCCAGAAAGCAGGAGAGATGCGTAGGGCGCATTCACCCCGAAGAGAGCCTGATAGGACTGGTCAACACAGGGTGGAGTCACGCTACAGAGGTGGGTTGCTCTATACAGACTGCAAAACTGCACATACACAGAATTGCCAGGTGTTGCTTTACAAAAGCCCAGCCTTCCCCCTCCCTTATATCACCCTCTGTTTGGGAGCAATGTGTTAGAAAGGGGATTAGGTGCTGACGTCTGTTGGTGCCTGCCTTGATCCCTGTAGTCCTGTAGTCTTCACCAATATTATTAAACACACCAGAAACTAAGCAGATCAAACCAAAGAGCAACAAATGCTGATTTTAATTTTTTAATTTTTTTTATTCTAAGGTTTAAATTTGATTCCATAATGTATTTCTGCACAAACTTTTCTCACAAATTAAGTCAGTGTGCCTTAATGAGTATGCTGATTAATATAGGTTACTTTAATACTCCTTCAGCATATCATTGCTTTCATTAAGTGTCAGTGTGTGGGGGGGATTATCAAGCACAATATAATACACCAAATCCACCATGACAACAGCGGTAGCCTGTGTTAGCACAGAGCTTGCATCCCTTTATGAATAAATGCACCAGGTTAAGGCAGCCTAGTGTCATTGTTGTGATGAATGGCGATTCTAGAGGTATAAATTAACCGTATCATAGCTCATTCTCAGACTCTCGACGATACGAAACAGGAAAAGCTCAATCAACTTCCTCAGTAGCCTGAGGAATTTTTCCATGATCTTTAACCGTATAGATTTAAACATCTTGCCCTTCTCCCAAAATGATTCACAGTCATGTGTACATTTGACATTATTGAGGTGGCAGCAGAAAATTTTTAAAACAGGCCGGTATCGTGGTGTATATGTGAGCAAAACTGTAGACAGCTCTGTTTAAAGTGATTTAACTGTGCCACACAGTCAGCAAAATCCAAAGCAGGGGACTCCATCTCTTGCAGGCTTATTCCCAAGAATGACAGTTTTATGTGAAGAATAAAATTTCATTTTTGTACGCTGAAAAAAGGATCAGGTTTACCCGTCATTTAGATGATGACTCCCGTACAAGGCAGGGAGCCTTTAGCTGCCAGCTTTAGGTTAGGGGAATGCATTTAACAGATGATCCTTGCAATCTAAATTTGCATGACACTAGTTTTTGTTTTATGTAAAAAGTACCAGATTTTGCTTAAAAATGTAGGAGAAGACTTAAGTATCAACGTTGTGAAAGGAAAACATGAAAAATTTGTAATCCAGCCCAATAACAAGAAGTATTCAGAGAGCGCAAACCTCCGCCAAGGCTGCTCACTCTCTGGGCAGCATTTAATTTTAAGGTAATAGTATTGTATTTTGTATATACTTATTTTCTTTTTTGTGTTCTTTTTAAAAGTACAGTAAAAACACATTTGGGATCAACTTGAAAGAAAGACAAATGTGAAATATAAAACTGATGTTAAAGGTTAAAAGTGACATGATATTTGGATTCAAACTAAATGTGATATTTAGAATCCATTTAATGAAAGTTTGACCCTACCTGACCTTGAAGAAGTGGCCTAAGGTCCAAAATAATGTGGCATTTAGAATTCCCATATGTCTATATGTTAATGCAAACAATAAGAGACATACAGCACTATTGTCACTGTGACTTTCACATCCATCTATTGCCCTTGAAGGACAGGCCAGAGGTCCAAAGTCACATCTTTTAAATTTGTATAAAGATCTTTGCATATGTTAACAATACAACGCACACTTGTAGGATTCATAGTTTCTGAGTTGTAAGGTTTTTGTTGTCCATTTTCGACCAATAAATTATGTTGTCCTTGAAGACCTCAGTGGATGCAAGACAAATTTTAATGGATTATTAACATGACTCCACTCGACACCCCTAAAATGTTTTCTCAAAATTTATTCTAAACTTTTCGAGCTGTCAAGTTTACAGCCAGAATGATAGGAAGCACGCAAATGCTTCTTGATAGAGATACTAGGAGACTGTTTACAAAAATTATTGTAATTCCTAAACAGTTAATGCAATACTTTGTCAAACCACTTGAATTCAAATTGAAAGTCAGTGAGGGTGGAGTTCAGTCTGATTGTCTGAAAGTGTTCTGTAGATATATAAAGATGCAAATTTATAAAAAAAAAATGTATCATTGTCCAAAACTTTATGGGCCAGACTCTATGTAGGAACACACCGGTGACATCGATATCTGCATGGATGTCTGTGTCCATGTGATAGCTGGCTGCCCTCTGTGCACACAGCATGGAAGAAACTCGACTCCTTGTGGTTGTAATTTACACTTTCCTGCCTGCTGCAGACATAAATGTCAGAAACTCCATTGTCATCATGCCCTTCCTTCACTCTCCACCTAGCCTGCTGTTTTCTTAACACAGCCCTGTCTTATTGTGTGGAAGTGCCAGTTTAAGTCAATTTTTACCTTTTGCAATGAGATTTATGACACTTTCCTTTTGTAATATCGTTCCTGCAACATGCCAGTCGAAAAAATTCTAATAAATATCCTCTACAGATATATTAGTTTAAGCTCTTGCATGAATTTTTTTTCTCGCTCTCTCTCTCTCAGACCCAGCTCACGACAGGACCTACTCCCGCTCAGCTTCACCTCCAGAGAATGGCTTCAAGCAGTACCTGGAGACTCGACTGTACAGCAGCCAAGGAAAAGGTCCCACTCGGACTGAGCGAACACCGCAGCTTGGGGGCCGGTCTTCCAATGAAAATTCTCGTTTAAGGCACCAAGTGCTACCTGATGTGCCCATTGTAACTAGTCGTCATAACAGGCGGAGACTAGATCAGATCTCAAATGGATACGATACAGACAGCAGCCAAGACTCCAGAGGGCTTTCTGGAAATATAGAGAACGGCCGCAGCAGGCCCGGTCGAGCTTGGAAGCCAATACGGGAAGCGCTAAATGTAGACAGCGTATTAAGTAGCGGGAATGTAAGTCACGAACGAAGGCAGCACAGCCCCCAGACGAGACCCAATAGTCAGTCCCCCTCACGTGATCGAGATTATCTGTGGGGAGGCCGGGAAGAACGTAAGCCAAAGAGCCTGATGACCATCTACGAGGACGAGCAGAAGCACGAAATAGGTGGCAGCCGAAGCTCTCTGGACTCGGACAGCCGCGGGGGCCACACTGACAAAGACAGAGCAAAGGGCTCAGCAACTCTTAAAGTGCGCAGTGACAACTGGAAGATTCAGAGAACTGAATCTGGATATGAGAGCAGTGATAGACTGAGCAATGGCTCAGCTAATCTCGACTCGCCCGTTGTAGAGAACATTTCTTCCAAGGACCTCCGGCCCATACCTGAGCTGCATCTGATGAGGTAAAACAGATCCTTCCACTTGGGTTTACATCACCCAGACGCACCAAAACTCTGCACTGCAAAGCATGATGCAGAGGAAAAAAAAGCTGACACAATATTTCCTGCATGACGACAGCATCATAGAGGCGCTTTGTCATCTCGTGGCCTACTCATTTAAGGACTCGAGTCTCGGAAGTGCTGCCATTTCTAAATAATAAAACATTACAAACAAACTGATCTAAGAATAGCAGGTCTCATTTAACAATAAATGCACACAAGGCAGATGCACAAATCCTATTTTGCTGGGCTGTCATTTGTTGTATTTGTAGTTCAGGGCTTGTTTGTAGATAATGATCCCATATAGCTGACAACTCCTGTACTCAGCAGGGGCAGCCTCAGATAGCTGACTTCTTCAAAAGCCGGTGCATTATTTAAGCATATCTGTTGACAGTACGCTAGTAAAGAGTCTCCTTAATTATTAATTCTTCAACATGATTTAAGATGTTTTTGTGACTGGTTTGGGTTAAAGCTTGAAGCCACTAAAACTGTGAAATTGTGATTTTTTTTTTTTTATTGTATTACTTTTATTCTCTAATACATCTTATCGATCTAAGAGGAGATAAAAGCATAACACTTACAATAAGATGTCTGGGTTCATACTGGGATGCAAATCATGCTACTGCACTGTCTCTTTGGAGATGCAACTATGCACTCAGATTCTAACTAAAGTCGTTGTTATCCACCTTTATCTGCTCTGAGCTCGTGGCTCTTTTTAAAAAAACAAATAATAACTATATTTTTTGTGTTTTAGGGATAACTTTCCTCAGAGAAGAAGTGATGAATTGAAGAGTGACGTGCTGTACTCTACAATTTCCATTAGTAAGTAACTATTGCTTTAAGTGAAAAATTAGTATTTTGTCATTATTCAAGTAAATCTCCAGATGTGTGTACATTTTTCGTCACACATTAGAGGGGAATAGATGAAAGCATCAGTTTCTGACAAAGGCTCCGCCCTGATACTGAAGATACTTCCTCTCCCCAATAGACTTCCATGTGTTGTAAGGACCTGAAACATTAAGATAGTATGCTGCAGTTTCCTTGATTTATTGTTCTATCAGTCGTGTTAAGGTCACAGCCTGATTGAAGGGATACTGTATGGAAGTGTGCGCTCTGGTTCCAGACTGACTGGCCCTGACCTTTTTTTCCTGAGTAAAGTTTATGTTATGCAGCACCTAGTGAAATTACATGAGCTCAAAGGAAGAATGAGCCCATGTGGGGAACAAGCTTTGTACCTTCAACACTGTTATTTTGGTGTGGAAAAATACTAGCCAGGCTCAGTTTAATTTTATTTAATTGGCTGTCCTTCAGTGAATAGAAGAACCAATGGAAAATGGTAGGGGGGAGGGAAAAAAAAACCTCAAGGACCTTTTCAACTGTTAACTGCGGTGAATAATGGTTTCTTTCTACAGGAAGTACAATAACTTTTAGATTCACAGGGATGCAAAATCTGGGGTGAAAATCGGGTTTAGAGCTCAGAACTGTTTTAAAAGGAAAAAGAAACGATGAGTCTTAACTATGAGTCATGTTGCGAAGTTGCAGTATTTTTTTATTTTTTTTTATCCTCTAGGTAGGATGGGAGGGAGATAAGGTGACACGAATAGCACTAGGGGGCTTGTCTCCTGGACACCCTTGACATTCTTTATCTAGCATGTGCTTGCTGATGCACACTATCAGCACTGCAAAAGGAGCGAAAGAAACTATAAATGAAAAATGCCTTGCTAATTCCCTCAATGGAAATACCCTGAGTTAATCCTGAATTGGAGGGGGAGATGAGTGAGCTTGTTGGGGCCACCCAGCTGTGCCCAGCCAGACAGAAAATGCCACGACTGGACCTGTCAGAAGGTGGTATTCAAACACCGCTCAAATAAAATGCAGTTTTACAGCTCTGCAGTTATTTCAAGTTCCCAAAAGAAAATGCAGGTATGATCTGAGGTTCATTGCCGAGTTAAATATAGCTACAACATAAGGGTGGCAAGTTGAGAAACAGAAGCATCGCCGGTCTTGTTTTTGTCTGTGAGCACATGCAGAGAGATTCATGTGACTGAAGCCCTGGCAAGGAGGCAAAGACTACTGTGGCATACACAGTTTTTAATCTGGCAAAATGTAAAAAAACAAACAAACTGTAGTATTGCTTTAGTTTAGTTATTGCTAGTAATTTTAGGACAAGCACTCATCGATCCTCTCATTTATTCATTCAGGCTGTTAAGGAATTATGATTATATCTGTATCAAGCTGCATCCACTCATCCTTCTCTCTCTCTTTTGTTTGTAATGTTTCACAGGGCCTGGTTATATTTCAAAAGTACCCACAGCTGTCTTGTAGTTCACAAATGTCTTGAAATGTTGCTTTGTGAACTGTCAAAGCTCAACCTTGTTTAAAAAAAAACAAACAGAACAAAAAAAACCCTGAAAGGGCCTTTGAGGACTCTTCTCTGGTAGCTATTTTTGAAATCAGTATGGGATATTTACGCCTGGCTGCCTGCAAATTGTATTGACAAGCCGCAGTAAATGTGTCCAGAGTCAATTTGGCACGAGTTCAGTGGTGGTAGTCTGGCGTGAGCTGCAGTTTCAGAGAAGCCTGAGCAGGTTCCACTAGTCCATTAAAGACTAAAATCCTTTCGGAAAGCACATTCGTGTGGGAGGGCAGTTGTGAGGAGCATTGTTGACATTTTTACCGCAGATATTCGTTCTTCTGATGGCTTGTTGCACTAGGAAAGAGATTCGAGTCGGGGCCTTTTTTGCCACCTTAATGACAGAACTTTTGACACGCTGTGAAATCGTACGTCCTGCCCGCCTGCCAGCATATTGGACGGACACTTGAACCTGATGCGTTTGTCTCACTTTTCCTTTACTGGCTTCTGCAGACCTCACTAGTTATCTACAGAAATACACTTTTGAAGCTGTTACAGCTGTTTGTCATCATCATCATAGTTGCCAAAAGTCAACTATGATGCTTTCTGATCTAGTTTAAAAAAAAAAACCCAAACTGACATGACAATCAGAAAAGGTTAAATGTCACTGAATTTCATCCTTTATACCATTACATGGATGCCTTCTACATTCTGTTTGCATACATCTTTTATAGCTGTTTATTTGTGTCCATGATGTAGCACGTTAAGAGCCAGTTGCTTGGCTCATTAATGCCACTTAACAAGCCAGTGAATGATGCTAATGAGTACACATGTACGCCACGGCTTTTGACCTACTGCCGTGCCATTACCATGCTACACTGAAACATAAAAAAGCCGTGCCATTTCCCAACTTTTTGTGATTCACTTATGTGATATTTCTTGTTCAGTTTCCCTGCTTGGAAACTTGGAGTTGCAAACCTGCATGCCCTTCTGATTGATGTTCCAGATGTTTTAAGTACATCAGACAACACAAGGCTGGAATCATGACTTGACTGCCTTAAAGCTACATTGTGTGCTATTTATTTTCTATTTTTTGTAATAGTCAAAAAAGGTCAACGAAACTTCAGCAAATTAAAATGATACCAGATCAGTTCTTGATGACCCTCGTTTAAATGTTTTAAACTTTCAAAGCTCCTTTTCTTTTCTTTCAAACTGATTTTTTTCTCATGCTTTCTCATTCTCTTTGTGGTGTTCACATTTTTAAGCACTTTAATTCATACTTTCAAGTTTATGTTGAAAAATTGGAAATGTTATTAGATCAATCACAGAACCTGGAGGATTTACCAGCTAAGTGCTAAAGTTCAAGTTTTCTCTCTGCATTGTTGCACGTGACGTTAAAGACGGAGAGGGGATTTTCTACAGAGAAAATCATCGTCAACTGCATCCCTTTTTGTTATCAAGACTGATATTGTTACGGTTGCTTGCCAACATCACAAATCAGCAGCAGCATCAAATTGGGAATTGTCGCATGGTCTTAGCGGCTTAAAAACGCAATAGTGTATGTAAAGTCTGGAGTCTGACCCCGGCGTAATTGCATGCCAGCACAAAGGATTTAGCCACTAATGCTTTGAGAGAGCGGTGGGGGGTGGGGGTGAGGGGGTATGCTGACACATCACAGATGGTCCTCAGCCGCTCACTCCCTTCCTTGTCCTGTTAGTCAGCTGTTGTCTGGCGCAGGCCAAGTAAATCACACACGCCCAGCTAACTTGGCAAAGCTCCACACCCGACCCCGTGCAGGGACCTGCTTCTAAACATGTGTTTGTGCTGATCTCATGGCTAAAATCAACCATCAGCCCCAAGTACTAGCAGCATAACTCAGGCTCATCTCACTGGGATATGTTTGGCCTATAGGTTAAAAGACTGTTACTTTCGTCTGTTGTTGTATTCATTAGTTTTTAGACTGAACTTATGAACCAGTTAGAGTTCAATCAAGGTCCTTATTGTTTTATTAGGACTGTTGGCTCGAACTTAACAGGCCTGGATATGAACCCAGATTCCCTTTGAGGGCCCATGTTCTTTGGCTGGATCAGACAGTCAGAGTGGTACACTGGGGCCTTGAGGGCGCTCTGCCAGACTAGCTGCTTTGATACTTCCTCTCGCAGCACCAGGCAAAAGGCCTTACCATGACCCCTGTTAGATAACATGTCTCTGCAGGAGAGAGACAGGAAAAAAATAAAGTAGATATTGTAGCAATATTCAAATGGAAACCCGTGACAGATGCTACCTGGCTCTTATTTTGGACCATCTGTTTGTGATAACTTTACAAAATTAGGGTCTTGTGTTATAAAGTACTGATGAAAATGTATTTTTTTTTTGTGTAGATGAACCAGGGAGAAAATCTCCTGAACTCCAAGAGTCCAACATGTTGTCTGATCAGCTGTTACAAAGGTAAAAAAGGTTATTCAGAAGTGCACGTTGTTAGCGAAATGCTTCACTTGACTTTTCACAAGTTTAAGTGAAATATAAATGTTTCTGTTTTTGCACTCAAGCAGAAGAAGAGCCCTCCGGTACACACCCGGGATCTTGGAAAAGAACAATGGCCTGGACGACGAGCGAGAGAAGAATGTGGACAGCAGCCCTGTGCCTCCCTACTTAGCAAAGACCAGCAGCTCTGAGTGGAACAGCTCAGATGACCTTGTTGGACAGTTTTCGGAGCAAGAAGAGAATGGCTCTGGCCCTGCAGACTCTCTGTCTCACAGCTTTCCTCTACCTTTACCTCTCAAGACTTTTGGCAACAGTCGCACAGACCCATCTGGCATCCACTCCTTACCACCAGAGGTGCCAGAGTGGTTTAGCTCCCGAAGCGAACCTAAAAATGGCTCGTCTCCCCACTCACACACAAGCCTCCGGCGGTGGATCGAGACGCCTGCCGAGCACAGGCTTTCATCAGATGCCAGCTCCAAGTCGGGGTCGTCAGACCAGGAGAGGAACGATCTGTCGGCCAGCGAGAGCGACGAGAGGTTACCCAGTCCAAAGTCCAGACACGATGATGGTACAGACTCTCAAACTCTGACAGATCGAGTTCTTCCCACCACTTACTTTTCAGTGGATAACTGTATGACAGATACTTACCGGGCCAAATACCACAAGAGGCCTGCCGTGTACGTGAGAGCACAGGACCATACGTCATCAGGGGAGAGCGATGTCGAAGGGAGGGGGCACCCTTTGACAGATGTTCAAACACTAGAACCTTCCAAAAGCAGAACAGAATCAGGTATGCAAAAGCACAGCGCACTTTTATTAAGACCTCACATGCACCTGTTTGGTTTAAATCTCTGACTGATTCTCTGGCTTTTGTTTTTCCAGGCATTTCCACTCCTAAGACTTTTGCGAAGTGGAATCCAGTTACTCCGAAGGGTCTTGATGAGCATGGTTTCCTATGATTTTTATGGACTGAATGATTCTGATGGCTGGATGCCAACAGGAATTGTTAAGCACTGCGACTGCTACAGATTGACTCGTATGTGGAGAGGTATTTTCTCTTGTACTTGTCATAACAGCTAGTTGGACATGAAACTGGATGCCAAAGAGATTGTACTAAAAAAAAAAAATGTCAGGTGTCTTTAATTAGCTTTCTAGCTACTAAAAAGCTTTGAACAGTGAATTTGCACAGCAGAAAGGTACAAACAGAATTATGCCTAAAAATATTTTGCTGGATTTGTGGACGCAGAGGGGTTGGGAAGGTAAAGAATGTGTCACGTAAAACCAACTTACTAAACAGCAGATGAAGTGATTTCTTTCTTTGTTTATGCCTCCTAGTCGCACTCTTCCTGCACATCCTGTGGAATGCCCTTATTTGTTTAACTATTCTCTTTTCAGTGTTATGACTGAGGTGTCTGCCCCAATTCTGTCAGTTATACCTGCCTGTCAGGGGGTTTTAGAAGGAAAGGTTCCAGTTGTGGTCAGAAATCTCTAGATATGCTTTTGGCACGACTTAAAAAATGGATCCCAAGGATCTGTATGAATGTGAATCTCCACGACATCCACATTAGGTTTTAGCTGATGAGACATCTTTGCACAATCCGTAAAGCCAACAGACTCGGGTCCTTGTTTGCGCGTGAACTTGTGCAAATAACCAGCGTTGGACTTTCTTCCTTCTCTGCCTCTGTCAGACACTCGTGAGAGGTTTGGTATATCAAAATAACTGTTCAAGAGTGAGGGAGGGGTGTTGGAGTGGGTTTAAAAGGTGATGGGTCAATGTGTTAAATTGATTGCCTGTTGGTAGAAGCCTGCGTCAGATCCTTACTCCTCATTGACACCTGCACATATCCCATCATCTTTACGGAATTTTCTTTTCCTTAAAAAAAAAAAATATATATATGTATGTCTTTGCACTGTTTTCCTTGTTTATTTTTTTCTTTTCACACTCCTTGGTTCTGTTATTTTTCTCTTTAGAAGAATAATTTCTTTGGATTTTGGTCACTTGATTCTTCGATAGCTTCTGTGAGCAGCACGTCTGCACTTGGAGGACACGAGATGATTTAATTGTGTCATCTGGTGATCAGATATGGCGTTTGCTTTTTTTTTTTTTTTATGAAGGGAGTTACTAATAATGTGTTGTGACTTTCACTGGTTTACTGTTTTTGGTTCAGATGTTTTTTATATATATATATATTCAGCAGACTAATACGCAGTGCCTTTTGTATTTTTCTGTGTTGAGGCGAGATTAAATCGAAGCCATGGTTTGTACAATTTGATTTTAAAGAATTTTTGTAGCGTTTTAATTTTATTTTTATTGAACAGTTGTCAAATAAACAGCTCTACTTAACCATATCTTCGTGTCAGCTCTTGCTTTCGGGGGAGCAAAGCTTAGAACAGGGATTTGAGGAGAAATCAAATTATCCAAATAAACTCTCCATGATGATAAATGTTGCCTTTTGGCTGGAGCATGGACGTCGCTGTGCAAGGCAGCTGGTGGGAAATGTGGGGTTTTGCTGCCACCTGCAGTCGTGTGTCTTGAATGCACTTTTTCATATCATATAACAGCTACCCAACTACAAATATACAGTTTTATGATTTTGATTTTTCCATTGAAATCAATTTTTAAAGTGTTTTAAATAACGCTATTTCCAAATTAATAAAACAAAAAAGTTTTTTTTTACCTTGCTTTATCAAGGTGCCCCCTTTAGCACACATGGACTGATATTATTAAAAACATTTTGTAATAATTTTGTAGTTTCCCTCCTCTGTGGAACCCTCTAGTTTTCACCAAAGCACAGAACTCTCTCAAGATACATCAGTGACCAGTATGGTTTAATTCTCACAGAGCGAAAGGCATCAGAGAGAGCAACTGCCCATTTTTATTAGGTAATGGGTGTACAAATATTTCAGTTTAGTTTTCCTCAAGGCATTTTATCATTTTATATTGTAAACAATCCAACAATCCCACTTGAACAAGAACTTGGCGACAGTGGGGAGAAACCCCCCACCTTTTTAACAGAAAGAAACCTCCAGCAGAACCAGGTTCAGGGAGGGGTAACATGTGCTCTGACTGGTTGGAGGTGGTTAAATAGTGACGTTAGTCCTATTGATTGTGGTTCCATACTGAGGTTTCAGGCAGAACATCTAATTAGACAAAAGATTCATATCCTGGATATGCAGCCAACAAACCTGCAGGAATTGCGATGACAAGTCAGTATGGATGAACACGTCAGAGGAACGTTTCCTTGGTGAATCTATGCAGAATGTAAGTAATAAAATGGTCGTGACTGTAGAATCCAAGTTACAGCTTGTATGTCATTGAACAGCCTCAATAAATAATAAATGGGGAAAATTGATACCTCGACGGGAGATGGGAAAGTATTATATAAACCCATCCAAAGGGAGTGTTATACAAGTATTCTAACGCTACCTGCAGCGTCTATTTGTTTGCATTAATTATATGAACATATACATAAAGATAGATTTATTTTAATTTTGTTTTTTTATCCTGAAGAGGGGAGTAGAGGACTTTGTAATCATCGTGCAGCTAGATTTAGGCATGCACCACTATCTGCACCCCAACTTCCACTTGATTTCATCACCATGCCTGCCTGCGATTTGCTGAACGGTATTACCGATTTTTTTGTATTTATTCTGTTCTCAGTCTTTTCCTTGTTTACAGGATTTCTAGTTGGAAAGGAGAGGAAAAAAATCCATTATTAAAGTCATAATTGCTTTTTGCACAATATTTTAATCTTCCAGTACACTGACCTCAACATGCAACACAGAAACAATAAAGATTAATCAAAAATATTTCAGGATTTGTCTCCTCTGGAGTGCTGCAGATGTCTTAAAATAGACATGGGCAAAAAAACAGGACCGGCCCACGGACCACCTCAGTCCAGCCCACACGGTCCTAAAAAAAAATGACACAAAACAAATGGCCGAGAATCTTAGAAATATTGATTGAAGTGAGTCCGTGCTGCTGTTTAACACAACCACACTTACATGTGCTGTTACTGTGTCATATTATTGATTATCCATGTAATTTACAGTGGGGCAAAAAAGTATTTAGTCAGCCACCGATTGTGCAAGTTCCCCCACCTAAAATGATGACAGAGGTCAGTAATTTGCACCAGAGGTACACTTCAACTGTGAGAGACAGAATGTGAAAAAAAAATCCATGAATCCACATGGTAGGATTTGTAAAGAATTTATTCGTAAATCAGGGTGGAAAATAAGTATTTGGTCAATAACAAAAATACGACTCAATACTTTGTAACATAACCTTTGTTGGCAATAACAGAGGTCAAACGTTTACTATAGGTCTTTACCAGGTTTGCACACACAGTAGCTGGTATTTTGGCCCATTCCTCCATGCAGATCTTCTCGAGAGCAGTGATGTTTTGGGGCTGTCGCCGAGCAACACGGACTTTCAACTCCCGCCACAGATTTTCTATGGGTTGAGGTCTGGAGACTGGCTAGGCCACTCCAGGACTTTCAAATGCTTCTTACGGAGCCACTCCTTTGTTGCCCGGGCGGTGTGTTTTGGATCATTGTCATGTTGGAAGACCCAGCCTCGTTTCATCTTCAAAGTTCTCACTGATGGAAGGAGGTTTTGGCTCAAAATCTCACGATACATGGCCCCATTCATTCTGTCCTTAACACGGATCAGTCGTCCTGTCCCCTTGGCAGAAAAACAGCCCCATAGCATGATGTTTCCACCCCCATGCTTCACAGTAGGTATGGTGTTCTTGGGATGCAACTCAGTATTCTTCTTCCTCCAAACACGACGAGTTTATACCAAAAAGTTCAACTTTGGTTTCATCTGACCACATGACATTCTCCCAATCCTCTGCTGTATCATCCATGTGCTCTCTGGCAAACTTCAGACGGGCCTGGACATGCACTGGCTTCAGCAGCGGAACACGTCTGGCACTGCGGGATTTGATTCCCTGCCGTTGTAGTGTGTTACTGATGGTGACCTTTGTTACTTTGGTCCCAGCTCTCTGCAGGTCATTCACCAGGTCCCCCCGTGTGGTTCTGGGATCTTTGCTCACCGTTCTCATGATCATTTTGACCCCACGGGATGAGATCTTGCGTGGAGCCCCAGATCGAGGGAGATTATCAGTGGTCTTGTATGTCTTCCATTTTCTGATGATTGCTCCCACAGTTGATTTTTTCACACCCAGCTGCTTGCCTATTGTAGATTCACTCTTCCCAGTCTGGTGCAGGTCTACAATACTTTTCCTGGTGTCCTTCGAAAGCTCTTTGGTCTTGGCCATGGCGGAGTTTGGAGTCTGACTGTTTGAGGCTGTGGACAGGTGTCTTTTATACAGGTGATGAGTTCAAACAGGTGCCATTCATACAGGTAACGAGTGGGGGACAGAAAAGCTTCTTACAGAAGACGTTACAGGTCTGTGAGAGCCAGAGATTTTACTTGTTTGAGGTGACCAAATACTTATTTTCCACCCTGATTTACGAATAAATTCTTTACAAATCCTACCATGTGGATTCATGGATTTTTTTTTCACATTCTGTCTCTCACAGTTGAAGTGTACCTCTGGTGCAAATTACTGACCTCTGTCATCATTTTAAGTGGGGGAACTTGCACAATCGGTGGCTGACTAAATACTTTTTTGCCCCACTGTATATATGCGATGTATTGTACCAGTGCAGAGATGTTAAAGCCTATGTTTTCAAACATTACACAGCTAACAACAAAACAGAAAATTGTTTCGTTACACTCGTCAAATGAAGAGCATCACAGCAGCGAGTATGAACAAACATATGGTCAATATGTTTGTTCATACTTGCTGCTGTGATGCTCTTCATTTCTCGATGTGGACAAATGTTACATTTTGATGGTTTGAAAACAACCATATTTAGTCCATATTTACAACATAAGGCAACGTGTCTAATTAGTGACCTGTGCTGTGATGTGTGTCAGACAATTAGCAAGATGCGGGCTGATTTAAAAACTATTACTGCATTCAAACTGGCTGTTTCGTCAAAATCTTTCCTTTGTAACCTCAACATGTGTACCAAATTCACGGAGTACTATGTTTGTCATGTTTCAGTTCATAGCTCCAAACTCCAAGTCACCATTGGTCTCTCTGGACACTAAAAACACTTCAATCTTGTCTTAAAACAAGTCAAAGGCAACAACATGTTCAGTGACTAAACATAAATGACAAAAAGCGAGGTGATCTCCCCAGGAGATCAGCCAGCTCATTGATTCACTGTTCCCCACTAGTTCATTTGCTTCTAGATCCAAATTTACTAGATAGGAACTCAAGAGCTAGTCAGATGGGTAGGTGTGGTTGGAGTTGTGTATGGTATCAGTGTGTGGTACCCATTTTTAGCTCTTTTGTGAAGTATAGCCTTTTGTTTTTGTTTAGCTTCTATATGTCAAAAATGCAAACCTATAAAGCCCCACCAGAGGGAGCTATATGCAACACAAAAGACCTGCTCCTAAACTATCTTACTCTCCTTGTAAGCAGTCAGACTTTTTCTCTATGTGACTTCTCTATGTCATTATGTAACACATATGCATAACTCCTTGGATGAAGCTTGCCATGTCCTAAAACAAAGCAGATCGCTGTGTCAACTGAGGAAAGCAACGTAAACGAGTCACTAAAGAAGAAGAGAAAAAAAAAACATCATGTATTCTGTGTCTAAAAACTCAAATTAACCGAGAATCAGTAGACGAGCAGTATTATGGCCTCTTTCAAATGACAGCCGCAGACCAGAGAAGAATTCACTGTGTTCACTGGAGGATAAAACAGGGAAAATTCATATCCTGCAGTGTATTCAGAGAATCCTGAAAATGTTCCCCATTCAGTTCTCTGCTCTTCCTTGCATGGCATGTCTATCACAGTTTTTGGTATGCTTAAATTTTAGCTGTCTTTCTGCTCTGTGTGTGTGTGTGTGTGTGTGTGTGTGTGTGTGTGTGTGTGTGTGTGTGTGTGTGTGTCTTCGCCGCCATCCGTCAGAGTGGGTCTCGGGCTGTCAGCGCGAACTCCTCCTCTGCAGCTGCCGTACTTCATTAGGGGCCATCAGCTGAGCTCACTGCTCTACTGTCAGAGTCAGACTTCTGTTTTCTCCTTTTTCCTCCCTTTGCGCTCTCTCTTTCGGTGTTTCTGCCCACCCTCCCCGCTCGCACACTGTCCCTCAAGCTCGCTCACATTCTTCATCCTAATCCTGATTTCTCACACTGTCAACTTACCTCAATCTTTCCCCTCTTGCTACATATTTCCCCCCTCCTGCTCTCGGCCCACACCTTCTCTCCTCCCCAAACTCGTTTTATCAGCCGCCCTCGATGCTCCAGCTTTTAAAATAAAGTCTTATTT